ATGATGAATGGTAGATAAAAGAACACAAGCACTGACTCTATGCCTTTACAGAGTTAGAGGACTGCAAAATCAAATCACCCATATACAAATCACTGCTTTTTCAATGTGCTGAAGTAGAGATATGAGGTGATACAGAACAGCTAAAGACTTACTTATCTATGTGTTTGGGTAGCTAAGGTTGTTGAGCAACCTTCGACATTCTTCTGTATGCATGTGTTGCACGTGCATGACGGCTACCTCGCAGAGCTGCTGCAGTCTTGCTGCTGGAGTGCTGCTTCTACCAGCTCTATGTATCTCCATACAGTTTCCCTTTGATAATGGCTATAAATAATAATATTCCATCATCCATCATTGATAGGTGGTCTGCAGAGTGAAAAGACGCAACCAGGAAGCAGTTTTTGTTTAACCTCAGTTAAAGCAAGAGAGAGGGAGAGTACCAGAAAGCTGAACATTGAGTTTTTTGTAATGTTACAGGTATGATGTCATGTCTATTTTTGAAGGGAACTGTGGATGTCATATGAAAAATAAGCGAGATGCCGAGACTCCAGATGACACACTGCAGCAGCGAGGCACAGGCAGTGTGGCTGCTCTAACCTAATAACATGGGCATTGGAAACTGAAATGCTCAATGAATTTGATTAAAATAGATGTTTTACCCGATGGCTTTCAATGTGTGTGGGGTGGCACAAATGTAGATAGACATGGTTAAAATCTTACTAACAGCCAAATATCTTTGAGGTGATTTCTGCAGCAGTCAGAGTTTTTTTATCAGTGCATATGAATTGTCTCATAACTGGGTCAAACTGTACTTTCTGCCAGAGTATATAAAACTGAGAGCAACACAATAAACACGTTGCTGTATGACTCATGTCTATTGTCTGCTGATGAATCACAATCACTGACTCTGGTCCACATTTGAACTGTCAAACCTTTGTTTTGTTTAAATGGGGGGGAAGAAGACACTTGGAAATGAAACAGCACAAGAACATCCTCAGTCTAAGTCCCCACACTACCAGGAGTACTATGTAATCAGCCTATATTCAAATCATACAGAGAGGCCGTCAAAACTGGAGAGCAAAAGTAATACTGTCAATCTAAGGATGATGAAGTGAGTCAGAGAAGATAGTAAGACTGAGAAATATTTTCACAATCACAGATACAGGCAAACTGAGAAAAATATTTGCAAATAATCAAATCAAATAATCAAAGAGGTTATGTTGTTTGATGGATGGTTGGTTGATTGTAAATAGGATTACGCAGAAACTATAAAATGTATTTTCATGAAATGTGTGTGTGAATGATGGAAAGATGGGACATGAGTCAAAACAGAGCCCAATAAATGCTGGGACGGATGCATTTTTTTGTCCTTTTTAAATTTCTTTAACATTGCAAGATATGATATATTTTGATGTTTTCACTGATTTTGCAAGAAACTATTTATATAAATAATTGGGGGAGTGCTATCTATAAGTATGTGCACATTCAAATAAAAATGTGGTTTCATAAGGGGACAGTTGGAACTTTTCTGTGCTATTGTGATTGCATTTTCTTTTATCTCATTTTAAGTTGCTTTACTAGATTTAAAAATTCCAAAATGACACTTGATATTTAACGTTTACTTAGATCTCTCCACACATCTTTTAGTCCTCCCAACACTCTGCTGTGATCAAAACTTCCATCATGTATAATTATCTTAGCCTCATGTGGACATCATAAATGAAGGTTGACAGCCCTTGTTGCTTTATCACTGTCACCATGGTGCACTCGATGTAACATTCATTCTTAATATTTTAGTCGACAGGCCTAATTTAGCTCAGCATTGCGTGCTGACAGTACATCCTGTGGAAGTTGGTGTGCGTATGAGGGCGACAGTGTGGGTGTGCAGGTGAAAGTGTGCGTCTGACTTATGTCTTGAGAATACAGACATTGTGCTTGCACATACAAGCAAGCTGACAGTGGCCCCTGATAACTTCCCTAAAATGTTCTCTGCTCCAGCCCTAATTCTGGACCAGAGACGGAGGCTGGATCTTTATCTTAATCACCAGCTTCCTGGCTTTTTCCCTCTTCAACACACAAGCTCCAGCACTTGATTTCCAAAATGTCGCAATGAGGAACACACAGATCTATTTCACTATCCCATGGAGAATACTGATTAACAAAATGCATTCCCAAACCAAAACCAAATTCTAACCCCAACCCTAGATCTTAACCCTCAAAAAGAAGTCTCTACACCCCCCACAAACAAACACTGCAGAAGAAAAGGGTGCATGTGGGTTCCCTGTGCTTGATTTAGTGTCACATTCTCACACACAGCAGGAAAAATCCTGAGATGATTCTTCCAGTGTTCCCTGCTTGCTGTGTGCCAACTGGAGGCTAATGGACGAAACGGATCACAAAGTCTCCCTCCCTAGCAGCAAAGGCAGCAACAGCACAGTGCAGCCAGGAGGCCGTATCAGTGGGGGGGTGAGAAATGGATTCATCACCTCGTACATCTCATGACATTCACCTATGAGGAACTCCAGATTCAATCCGGTGAAGGAAGGTGAGGCAAAACACCATGTTTTTGTTCAATTTCAGAAATCTCACCAATTCTTCCAGACAGAGAGAAAACACATACTGTTATGAAGAACAGCTCTCAAAATCCAACATTGGTCTCTTACAAACATGGCAGCAAATTCTATGGGGACACGACAACACAGCGTCTCCCTGCAAACTCAAACCACAATGTTTTTTTTATTAATTTAAGCATCAAAGAGATGTCCCAGATGAAAAAAATACAACCTTAAGGAGGATCTGTGAAAAAGTGTTTAGAGGGTGGCAATTGAATGCAATGAGTGACAACATACCTGGAGATTTATACAGTCGAAATCCTGCAGTGTGTGTAAGCCTATCCTACGCCTATTCTAATCCATGTCCATGACAGGGGGATCCCAGTGATGGTTGAAAACTATAGCCCCTCTGTGGTTATAGCTACAGCCAAGTAGGTGTCTTAGTAAAAGGGAGAACGGGTATGACGACACCAATGCTGTTGTGTTGTGTCTAGTTCACACTACATGAATAGCTCCAGATCAGGGCTGAATTTAATACGCACTCACTCGCTACATGAACTCTTTAATGATGTGATTTGAGTGGCTCGCCGACACTTCGGCCTACACCTCAGGGTGAAGCCTTGGAAATAGCGATGAGACGACAGACTGCACCAACAGATGCATTCCAACTACTTATGCAAGTCACCAACCAACATAACAGGTAGTCTTTTACATTTGCTCTGGGCTTTTGGACTCTTAACAACTCTTTCCATTTCTTCATACAGAAATTTGAATAAAGCTGTAGCTGTTTTGGGGAAATGGACATAAGTCTGTTGTTTATCATTTACATTGTCAATTATGAAACATAACAATAGATCCAAATCCCCAAACTCCTCTACAGCCAAGCTTTCCATTTTCCTCTTTTGTCTTAGAGAACAAAAAAGACCAACTATGAGACCACAGAGTAAAACTGGACTATGGCTGGTATGCAATGTGAGGTCTAAATGCATGCGGAATCATACGCATAAATGAATGCACCAGTCTATATGATTACTCAGCATCACTGATCATCGCAGTGGTCACAATCTACCAGATGAACCCCAATGTCTCTCTCTTCACACACACACAATTGTCCCAACCCATTCTCTCTGGTGAAGGACAGACAGAGGATGTGTCTATGATGGAGAAAGACTCCCATTTCCTCTCTGAGGTTTCACATTCCTGGGATTCCGTCTGAAGACCACTGCAGCCCACTTAAAACCATTCTCCATATGCAGAGGTGAAAAAAAAGGAAACCCAGGGCAGACGAGCAGGAGGACGGCTGTGTACGTCTTTGAGTTTTCATTACTCTTGACAGTATTAATCTCCCCTTATAGGTAAGCAAACACGTTTAGCATAGAATGAAAAACTATTCCTTCCCATGATTTAACCGACCCTATATAAAAATCAGACCGTGCTCGAACACCATCAGTTGGTGTTGTGGGAATTTTGAGTTATGCAGCACTGTTGTAAGTCTTAGAAACAAAAACCATACAGGTTAAAAAACATGGAATCAGAATAAGACAATTTTATGTTCGCAGTCAGATTTATCACATAAGGTAGTTTCCACCAGAACATGGTGAGGACTTAAAATCTGGTTCCAGCACAGCACACATCCATCAATGCAGGTTCAGCCTAAAATGCCACCCCCCTCTTAAAAAGACTGCAGCTTGTCAGAGCAAACCAGCAAATGTTTGCCAAGTGACACAATGCAAATCCTATAAATTAATTGGAGTATTACATTAAGTGACAGCATCCAATATAGTGATGTATTTTCAGTGTTTTCCCACTGTTATAACCCATTATAGACCACAATGAAATATATGATCTATACAAACCAAGGTCATTGATAAAAGTATATCATGTAAAGACAACTATTGTAATATATAATTCTGAGACTTAAGCTAAAGTATGAATCCACACAGTGCAGATGATCCATGGAACGTGACTGCACAGAGGCTCTATGATCAGCTTTGATCAGCCATGGAGGTGTTTCAGGTTTTGAAAATAACCACAAAAAGACCACGCTGAGATACCGTGTGAGTCGATTAACATTACCACAGACCTACTGATACCGAGTTTAGATATTTGAATCTTAGCTAACTTCTGAGGTTAACGTGAGTCAGCTAACTTATTAACCTACAATATAAACAGTTACAGTCTTGCGCTGGTTAATTTTTGCTAACGGGCTAGGCTCATTTATTGCCTTTCAGAGCAGCTAAATTGGTTTGTGTGAGTTACCTTCATTTAGGATTAAGACGTTTAAGTGCGATGAACAATAATAATAATAAACGCAAGGTTTATTATAAATTAAAAATGTGCATAATAGCCTCGAATGTGTCCTGGTTCACCATCAGCAGATGTGGAGTTAGCTAGCAGGCTAACATGCTAACGTGTAGCGAGCAGCGCAGGAGGGGGTTTAAATTCGCTTACCTGTCAACCGCAGCTTCACTGGGCCATTTCTCCTCACCCCTTGGTTAGACATCCCCCTCTGTGTTCCAGCGTGAAGAAAGAAAATCACTGAAAAGTCACTAATTCATGTGTCGCCGTGTGAGCTTGTTTCAAAAGAAGGTATCTCCCAAAACAATCCCTCTGCTAGCTCGGCGTTAGCTTGTAGTATCACCATAGCAAATCACGCTGACTGATGCAACGTAATGGTGTCACAGTCATGTCGATGCAACAACTCTCATCTTGAGCCACAACAAGAAAAAAATACACGTAGCTACGTTTCCCAGGTGTGGTTCATGCCGCAGAGCACGAGTACCGGAGCTGGTTCAGGTGAGCGGCTCGTCCACCATCCGTACACACGTCCACTCAGCCCGGGCAGCTCAGACTGAAGTTGTCGGTGGAGAAGCCTGCTCCTGCAGACAGACAGTCAGGCTGAGGGAGGCGAGGACCGGCAGAGCATCCGGGGATTCTTTCAAAATAAGAGCTGGATTCAACTGCGGTAGAGCAGGTCGCACATCAGCTCATTGAAACCAACACGACCCCCCCCCCACATGTGAGGTTTTGATTCTTCGAGGAAAGCAAATTCATATGTACGTTAAACAATAAGTTATATTGGTTTATTCAACGACATGTTTTATAGCCAGAGCGAAAATGAGTTATAAAAATACCATTAATGCACAATAATGAGCACTTTATTTACAATTATCCTGTTTACATTGGCACAAACCGATTTTATTGTTAATGTGAAGTTTCCGATCTTAATTTGGATGGTTTTATGTAGCTTCTTTCTCAATTCATTCGAATACTGTTACAATATAGTAGGCTGGCTGGTTCCACTTTTCAATGAACTTATATCAATATTAATTATCAGTACTTGACAAATCTAAATCAGTGTGAACTAAATCAAGGAAATGTAGAGGAGAACAACTATTTTAGACTCATCCAGAATTTTTATACACTAGAAAATGTATTTTTCCTGAGGGTAAATAATGTAGATTCAGATCTGAGCAAAGTGACTTTAGACATCAAGTCTCTGGGTCTAGTTCTCTTCCTTCCTGAGTCGCCTATTGTGATATTGAGTGGCTGCGTTAAATGTAGATTTCACTCATAAAATCGTTTCCCTGTACTGCAAACACAGCAGGATCAACACTCACAAGCAATGAGAATAAGCACAGTGTCACCTTGTGGTAACAGGACACCTAATCACCTCCCATTTCTACCTATAACAGTTTTTTCCTCACACATCTTTTCACCAACTAAATCAAGCATATTTCCCTGTTCATATCCTGCTTACATCTGAAACACAAAAAGCCCCACCGTATTCATTTATAACATTTATTTACAAACATTGATCCAAAGAAGGATAGTTTGTCCTTGTACAAGGCTCAAATGTCCCAAAAAAAATACAAAAATAAAAACAAGGTACAAATTTTCTTTTTATGTTACAAAAAGCAGAGTGGACACGTTAAAATTTAAATGGGCTTTGGTCGTCGGGGACCTGGAAAGCATAGCCATCTGCTGTCACCTCGGGAACCACAGAATCATCTTCATTCTGAAAGAGGAGGGACGGAAGGAGAGGAGCATGAGAGGATTAATCAAGTCTTAGCATGTTTTGGGGATGGCATCATGGGCATGGATTAAGACAGATCCTGCAGACAATTTCTGCCAGCTAAGACAGGGATTCTATTTATAAGGAAGATCATGAAAGTAAAGTAAATACGTTTGGGTTAGTGACTGCAACAAGCATTTCTTGTGACAATAGCCAACTACTAGCTCATTTTACTGTATGCTACAAAATAACTCACATTCATTCTTTGGCAACAGTTAAACAGAGGAGGAGTAAACAGACAGTTAACCTCTGCCAAGCAGCTGCCACTGCCAAGACTGTCATTTCATCTGTGAATGAGTCACGATTGATGTAGTTGTTCTTCTGCCAGTCTTTCAATGTTTTTGTTTCCTCAGACTGATGACGGAAGTGGTTCATATCATATTGTATCAAACTATACAAACACACTTGACACAGTGCTCGCAAAATTCAGAAGATAATATGCAGTCCCTGTGGTCATTATAGAGATAGTACTGCAGCTTAAATTCGTTTTTGACCTGTAAAATAAATGATATATGATTGTTCTTTGATGAAATACACTAATGGTGATTCTAATATCACATTAACTACCAAAATAATACAAAAAGAAAAATTACATTTATAGGTTCAACATGGCTCATTAGGCCATCCACTGTTTCAAACACTTCTAGTTGAAAAGGTTAACACCTTCTAATCAAAGCAACTGCTCATGAGTGGGTTGATGAGTGTGTCTTCAGACAATACTTATGTCTAAAGTTAAACTTTTAACAATTTAAAATTCAAGTTGCCTTCATAATTAAATCTCTACGGATCAACAGAGGTCTAATTTTCTACTACTGTGCAGCCAGTTTGCAGCGGCACCAATCAGTAACACTTACCTCTTCAGAGAAAAATCGGTCGATAATGTTGAGAGAGGACTTGTACACAGCTTCGTTGTCATGGGACTGCAGCGCTTCAATCTTGTCCAAACCACCCAACTCCTCGACCATTAGGGACAGTTTCTCAACCTCACCTGCTTTGTGTGCCATCTGTGTGGAATAGAAAAAATATATAAGTCCGTTTCCACGCCACAAGACAACCTGTGACATTTTAATCTGACTGTCAAGCATCAATCTGCATCACTTCATCTTTAAAGTAATAGTCCACCAAAAAATGAAAATTCCCTTATTATCTACTCACTACTATGCTGACGGAGGGGTGGGTGAAGTTTTTGAGTCCACAAAACACTTCTTGAGTCTTAGGGGTAAACAGTGTTGCAGCGGAATCCAATACAACTGAATTTGAAGGTGAATCGTAATAAAACAGAAAAAACATAACATGCCTCCATACTGCTTGTGTGGTGTCATCCAAGTGACCTTATGCCCCGGCATTCATATTCAACTCAAAATGAGGTAATATAAACAGTTTTAATCCCAAATGTCCGCTGATATCTTCCTGCAAGGTGCATTCCCTGACCCTCGGATGCAACATCATGTAGCTACATCCACTAGCTTAGCCACTTTAAGGCTTAAAACAGAGTGTAAATGACCTAATTTCAAATCGAATATGAATTTAGGGGCTCACAGACACCTGGATGACACCACAAGAGCAGTATGGAGGCATGTTATGATTTTCTGTTGTTTTATTACCTCTCAAGAAGAGGACACCATTAACTTCAATTGTATGGGATTTTCTGTTTTATTACGATTCACCTTCAAATACAGTTGTATTGGATTCTGCTGCAACACCGTTTCCCCCTGAGACCACAGAAGTGTTTTGTGGAGTCAAACACTTCACCCACTCCTCCATCGGCTTAGTGGTGAGTAGATGATGAGTGAATTCTAAATTGTTGCTTTTTGTGTGATTCTCTTTGTGCTGTTAAAATCAATCTGAAAACACCACAATTCCTTTTTTCATCAGTCATTTATCATTTTATCAATCATTACTGATAAATTACTTTTACTGTCTTTTACTTTCACTTCCTATTACTTAATCAAATATCTAAATACACTGAGCTGAATTGTTAAACTATAGCGCGCTTCAGAGATTAGACAAATTGGGGGTAAAATATTCTCAGACTCTTAACTGCAGCATTTTAAGACAAATTTGCTGTGAACATCTCCAACACACAGAGAGCAGTATGGTTGAGAACCGGACTTTGTAATTGTATATATACCTGTAAAATATTGTAGATTGCGTCCAGGATGACCAAGACAATCTTGCTGTCTTTGACTGTCAGTAGGTCGAGCAGTGGCCCCAGCACATTGCATTGGACGAGATAGGCCACTTGTTCCAACGTTCCTCCGCTGGTGTAATTGCTGACAGCCCACACTGCCTCCTTCTGGCTCTTGAAGTCTCCCTGAACAGAAAATAAATCTGATGTTTTAGGCCAGAGCAGTCACTAAAGAATCACTAAAGATTTACAACATGAGACTTTGTGAAAAAACACACTATGACACCATGATACATTTATACCTCTAATAAAATGTCTTCATAAAACTATGCTGTGTCTGCAGCATGGCAAAGAAAAGTTGGAGAAATATAAGTGGCAGTGCTAGATTCTCATTTGAATCATGCTGCAAGCCAGCAATGTTTTCTGCTTTTGCCTTCTGACCTGTTGGAGGATCTCCACCAGGATGGGCATTAGCTCTGCATTGACAACCTCCTGGATCTGGGTGTCCTTGCCAGCTGTGATGTTGGACAATGTCCAGGCCGCTTCTTTCTGGATGTTGGTCTTTTGGTGACGCAGCAGGCTGGGGAACATTGCCAGGGCACCTGTGTTCAGAACACACTGGGTCTGCTCATCCGTCCCAGTCACAATGTTGCCAAGTGACCGCAATGCTGGAGTCTGGGGAGTAAAGACACGAGAGTCAGTAATTTTAAGTACTCACAATTTACTAATATATGCATGAGAGACGATGGTGATGACAAAGATTGAGAGCGATTTGACTTGACCTGCCTCTCGGAGGGCACAATGCTGGCAATGACAAATCATGTGCTTGATTTTCAGGTTTATATCTCATTGCACACATGACTTCTTTAGCTTCATGATACGGGTGAATTAGGCAGGTTTTAAATGAGGGACACAGTAGATGGATACAAAAGAGGAGGCTAGACTGATGATGATATTTTGTGAAGGTACAGTACAATGACAACTTTTGGACTTGAGTAAACAAGCTAGTACATTAAGGTGCATTAAGACTTTAACTCAAAATCTTATAGTGACAGAAACAGAATCAAAAGAGCAGGAACTTCAAATGTCAGAAATGAAAGCAACCTTTCAGTTGAACAAATCTCAACACCACATACCACGATGGAAAGCTCTTCCCAGGTGAGAAGCTGCACCAGTCGGGGCACGAGTCCAGCCTGCACAACCACCTCTATTCTCTCATTGGAGCCATCAGTCAGATAGGACACTGCCCAGCAGGTGTCGGCAAGGACCTCATCGTCGTTATGGTTGAGGAGGCGCACCAGGGCCGGAAGCAGCTGTTGTACTGCCACAAGAGGAGGGGCTGGGTCCTTGTTCCGACACAGGTTGGACAGCGTCCAGGTGATATTGCGCAGGTAGCCACGCTGGTAGGATGGATTAAAGGTCATTTATTATTTTGCAATATCAACATGCCATAACATGATAATTGTTAAGAGTAAAAGTTACAACAATCTCTATGAAGAGGGACATTTATTACATGGAATAAAGTCAGAGATTTTTCTCAATCCATGAAACCAATCTGTGATTTCAAGTCAAAAATCTTAACTAATGACTATGATATAAATACATGCAGAAACAATGTTTCACAGTAGGAGCTACTGAGTGCAAATCACTGAATGATATTTCTAAATGGTGCATAATCAAAACAACTTTCTCAGCAGTTTGTAAAATGCTTCAAATGAACTTTTCAACAGAAATGAAGAACTTAACACTACATGCCAGGGTGATGAGCCCTGTTGGGGCTAGAATGCAGTGAATGTGAAGTTAAATTTACTCTGTTCCTGTCTGGACTTATAGGACAAACAACTGGCAGGTAATCAATCCCATAAAAAAAAGTACTTAAGATTTTTAGAGAAAAGAAAACATAGGTGGCTTATTGCAATAAATAATCTATTTGGCATCAAAGTCAAAGGTAATTACAATGTCTATACTGTATCGATGCTAAATTGCCAGTGCTAGACGTGTTTACTTCCTCTCGTTCCCCATTTTTAAAAAATTATTCAGTGTATTGGTAATCAGATCAGAAGTACACTGTTCTAAATACAGGTGAATCTATAGAGCTGCACTTAAGGGCAGTAAAGTTCTGTAGTGTGATAATTAAACAATATAATGGTGAATTTCCAACAAAATCAAACATCGATTTTAGAGCCATTGTTACACAGTAACGTCTTCCTAATCTACCTGAAACATATCTGATTATGATGCCAGGTTTGTAACATGCGATATGCCTCAGCTGTGTTTGGATAGAACATACAAGCTCTTAACAAGCCTGTAGTGCCTGTAGTAAAATACAAATGCACCTCAAACCCAGCAGTGCCACCATGTTGAGACATAAAAACTCACAGGAAACACAGACAGGTCAGGGGCTGCCAGCAGGGCCAGGAGTGGCTGGAGTCCACCATGTTTGATCACCAGGTCTCTGTAGTTTGATCCATCACCTAAGTAGGGAAAACATTTTCTGTCATCCTTAGTAAACAGTCTGATTACAACAAAGAAGAACATACCATGCCAGAAAATGCTTGTCATGAAAAGAATTAGGATTAAGTAGGTGGTTATCCCTTTGTTTGAAGAACCTTCTGCTATCAAAATGATCAAACAAGTTCATGCTCGAAATACAAAAATTCCATGGGCTCCATAAATCTCATAAAATGAACAGTGCACTATGTAAAAATGGGGCAACAGATGGATTAAATAAATTAGTCTACCACAATGAGACTACATACCTGCAATATTACCCAGGGCCCAAATGGCCTGTTCACTTATGTGTGGGTGGGGTGATGTCACCAGGCTGATGAAGGCAGGGATGGCTCCTCCTTCCACTACAGCGGTGGTCTGGGCTGATGTACCTGAGGCAATGTTGGTCAGAGCCCAAGCTGCCTCAAACTGGATGGGAGGGCATTCAGTCAATGCCAGAAAACCAACAAACCTTGGGATGAGGCCAGCAGCAATTATGCTGTCAATAGGTGGGTGCTTTTCTCTGGAGAGAACTTTTCTATACAGTTCAAGGAAAGACAAAGTGAAGATGCAGATTGTTAAATGTTTTTTAGTAATCACTGGCTGGAGGGCATTTCAAGGCATACGATGTCTAGGAGGTCTGGGAACAGACACATTGATTTCCTACTTAAACGTACAATATATAACTTCTGATGATGAAAATCTACCTGACCCAACACGGGCATAAATCATGTTCACCAATGAGGTAATGTTATATACATTTTATTAATATTGGGAAGCAAACAATAATGCCACAGTAATAATATATAATGGTGCACAGTATGATTCAAATAGATCTCACCTGGCTGCCTGTGTGGCCTGCAACTGATTCTCTAGGCTCTGGTCGTTGACACCTTGTACAAGCTCCTCCACAGACCAGTGCTGCTGTGGCTGTGGAAACAAAGGAGGATTACTTTTATGGCCATAGTAAACCTGGATCAAACTGTAGTTAAAAATAACACGCAACATGGTAAGGTGGGGCATACAGGATCCAGAAAAAAATCTACACAGACTATGGGGTAATAGCTGAATACACCTTTCACTATAGAATAATATTGTTTGTATAAATAAGTATTTCAGTAAAGGGTGCTGGTAAAGGATGATTGCACAAGAATGTAGTTTTGGGAATATTGATAGGCAAAAAATATATATTTTATGACACAAGGTTAATTTACTGAGGATACTAATGTGCAAACGACATGTTAGTTAATTTAGTTGATAAAATAGCAGCACAATATAATTTGTATCAATAGCAACCTGTAAGCACATGAGGAGGTAAAGCACTTAATTGTAATACTGAAGATTAGTGATTTCTCAAGTGTTTGTCATTCTCTGCTCATAATCTTTAAGAGGTTAAAGCCACAATCATCACTGAGGAGTAAAAAACAGGTGGTCAAACTTAAAATGTACAATAATTTGACGTTTACTGTGATATTGACCTAGCACAATGACAAGTTCACAATGAATGTTCACAGTCGGTGAGAGTTAATCAACAGGGAAGTAATAAGTAATGAGCTTCACATTGTTTTCCATCACAAAGACACTTAAAATTCTCCTAAAGTTCCTCATTGACTTTTGGCCACTGTGTGCAAACAAAACAGACTGGCCTCTCTATTATTAGCCTCTGAGGTCCAGACAGCTGGTGAGCTCATCGATAACCAATAATCAAATCAAACTGAGACATGGAAAACACATGGAAAGTGTCCCGCCAAACCACCGGGTCCGTGGATCAGATCAGGGGGTCTATCATGGGCTGTATGTACCTGTGCATTAGGATCGTTCTCCTGCAGAGGGGATGTGGGATCATCCTCAAGACAGAGGACGTTCCTCCTCTTGAAGATCTGATCATCTTTCTTTGCTTTACGGAGCTCCACGTTCACTTCCGCTCGCCTGCGCCTGAGCTCCTGAAAAATGTCGACAACAACAAAGTGTATGTATGGAAAGAGAAAAAAAAACAACATGGCGGACGATTGTTTGATGAACGCGTGCGGCAGTTTGCGATGACTTACAGTGGCATCTTTCCCTTTGTTTTTGAACTGGGTGAGTCGAGCTCCGCTGTCTCCGACAGCTGACATTCCTGACCGATGAGCAAGGCACACGCTGTACACACTCCCTGTGGAAAGACGGAAGCTCTTTACTTCACGATAAAAACTGAACCGAGGTACAGGCGGCTACTTTTATTAGCTTAGAAAAGCTAACAGGCGGCGAATTAGCAGGTGAAGCCGGTTATCTAACACCATGTGGCCCAGCGCGCACACAGTCTGCCCGGTAACACAACGCCCCAACACCCCGCTGTAATCCATGGAAATACCAAAACACGTTGAAATCACAAGCAACAACAACGACTTACAGAGTTAAACAGTAAAACACTGGTTTCTAATGGACATTAAGACGAAGAGCGGGAGCGCCGTCCTCACCGTATCGATTTGTCGTGGGGTTTTTTACAAGAAAACTGACGTCACATATATAAACCGCCCTGTTTGTTCTGACTCGCAATTGGTTCCTTGGTCTCAAGCCCCTCCCCCTTACCCAGGGTTAAAAAAACGTTTCTAACCGTTGTCAAAGGCAACCGCAGTGAGTATCGCGAGATGAGCGCTCGCGGTGAATCAGTGAGGGAAAACAGCGGCTGTTGTGTTAACGCGCATTAAAACACGCAAACAACAACATTCCATAACACCTCCAGTGTTTTCTGTCATTTTAAAGAAGGATGTTTCTCTGGAATGGCGACGTGATGACCCAGTGGCCTAATGGATAAGGCATCAGCCTCCGGAGCTGGGGATTGTGGGTTCGAGTCCCATCTGGGTCGTGTTTACTTTCCTTTTCAGGCCTCATACAGAACACACTGTCCTGCCACTCACACCAGACAACATGTGTATCTCCATATTCTGTTTAATAGTTATGAAAATAAATCACTATGTTAACAAAACTATAATTCCATTGTACACCCTGTTCAATGACAATAAAGGTATTCTTATTATTTTTATTCAGTCAGCTCAGCAGAGCTGAAATGAGTAAAATGTTTTTGTCATCAACAATACAATGGTTCTGAATAACCCCACAATTAAACTCATTTTTCTACAAGCAGCCACTCATGTGCTATTTGTTGCAAAAATAATTAATCAAATTGTATAATCTATTAAGCACAATTCATGGTTTGTCGCACTTTTCTTTAATTAGCTTTACTATGACTCATGTAAATTCATTTTTGTATAAATAGTGGAATAAAGAAGTTCTCTCAGGCAAGAAACATCACACATCTCGTTCACAACAAAAATCAGAACAAAGATAAAATGTAAACTATAAACGTGACTATAAATTTAAACATGAAGAAGATCTAAACAACACTAAAATAATAATAATAAAAAAATTTACGAATAAATAAATCTAATCTCATTATGCTGTTCACCATACAATTCAAAGAAAGTAGAAACTTTCAGCTAGGCCTCCAACTGCTCACCCTGCACTGTTAAATATATATTTTATAGTTATCTATATATTTTTAAACAGTGCAAAAAAATAAATAAATAAAACAAAAGTTAATTTCTGTTGTTTGAGATATTGTGTCCTCTGATTATAATTGTTCTTAACAGGCATTCCCTGCAAATCTTAGTGTCTGCATTGACCCACCAGAGGGCAGTGAAGAATAATGAATGTAAATACATTTGGTAAAATATTCTCACCAATCAAGAATGAAGGCAGGATAACAACCTTAATCATAACAGTGCAGTTGTATATTATATAATCCACAAAACTCAGATATCAGAGGTTAAACCTAGTTAACCATTACAAACAATCCTACTCAGTGAACAGGAGTTAATCTGTGACGGGACTCCCATCTCCCCTCTTATATTGTAAACAAGCATTTATGAATGGAAGGAGTGTCACTGTGCTTATTTCTGTATCGGGGACGTCCCACCGCCTCCTTTTTCCTTCTCATGGTTTGAGAGGGCAATATAAAAATCCCAGGAATCCCAGCCCTGCAGCAGACCCGAGAGTGTGTCCACACTGAACATCCACGATGATGGGGACTATTTTGTTTCTCTTGTTTCTGGGGATTCCTCTCTACCACACAGAGGAGCATACTGTTAATGGTGAGTGTAGATTCTTTCACTGACAGTAGAGATTTATACAGACAGTTTTATATATTCTTATAGATACACACACTTGTTGCTTTATGGTTGTCAACTTTATATTTTTCTTTACAGTAACAGTACAAGCATTTTATTTTATTCAAAATTGTCTCTTGTCCATAGAAAATAGGTACAGAAATATATTCATTTATATTGTATTATATTGCATCATATATACTGTATATAGATGGATTGGAAGTTTTGTTTTGTGATGATATATGACTTTATTTGATTCATATCAAGTAGCACATGATAAGAATAACACACACACACTCACACACACACAGAGAACACAATCGGCCAATGCATGTCATACTGAGGAATGTTTCCAATTATTTCTCAGTTTAAATCATGTTAAATTAGATTGTGATCAACCTCTAATAACAAAATATTTGTCTAATTAAATATCTAAAAAATGTTTCTACTAAAGTTAGTTTTTAAAGAAGCTCCACAGTTATTGTGCACTTTAAATAACTGTACTACAGTGAATATCAAAGCTGACTTCATGTGTTGTTCCTCTGTTTACACCTCAGAGCTCTACACCCTGATAGAGAAAGGGCAGAGCAGCTTTGTGGATCCAGCTCTGAGCAACCAGAGTCGGCAGCTGGTCAAAGAGTCCTCCCTGCCCATCAACGAGCTCCTGGAGAAGAGCGGCAAGACTGTCGAGTCCAAGTTCTCCCTCCACCCTCTGCCACCAGCTGTGTGGCCCAAGCACAGCGACCTGGCCCCCATACCTCGCCACCACACTCCCCACAACAAGAGCAAGAAGGGCCCCAAGAACGATCGTCTGCTGGAGCACAACAGCGAGAAAGCCAGGGGCGAAGTAGCCGGCCTGCTCCCAAAACCCCCGCTGACAGGAGCCACAGCTGCTGCTGCTGCTGCTGCTTCCACCAACCGCACCATACAGAAGAGCAGCCAGGATGCCCAGTCTCACATCAGCCCTCCACAGCACAGTGAACCAGAGGGACACCCCAACTCCAGGCCCAGGGGTCCGCCCCTGCACACGCAGCCCCAGGCCCAGCCTCAGCAACCCGCCCCGTCTCCATGGAGAGATCACCCCAACCGGCGACTGGACCCAGAGGAGAACCGGCCGGGCAAGTCCAGTCTGTATCAGTCAGGTATCAGTGCAGCAGCCCGGAACAACAGCCGCCCGCCTGTCGTCTTCAACCGGCGCTCCTCCAGCCTGCTGTACCAGTTTGACATCCTGAGGCGAGGTACAGGAGGATTTGTTGCGTCCTGACCTCTGACCTGTGTCTTTATTCATGAGCAGTGTCATCTCTTGATGCTCCCTTTTGGGATAACAACATATTTAAAAATGACTGAAATGATGTAAGAGTTTATCCAGCTGGGAAAAATAGTTGTTGCTAAAGTATTTATGACCAGTAATAATCTGTGCATCCTTACCATGACCCTCAGCATTACACAATCAAGATGAGAAATGACTTTTAAACCAAACACAATGCTTTAGGATTAGTTACAGAGTGGGAAAACAAAAATACTTCATTTGGATTTACATTGTGCTCATGCAAAATGTGTTTCCTGCAAAGATAATAGAGTCTGGCCTTATTGTAATGCTTTATAACGGTCTCCCAACATTTCCTGTCACAGAGTAAGAAATAGCTCCGAAACTGCTTAAAATGTCGCACAGTGATATCATACATGTCAGCACATACATGTATATGGAGTTCACAGAGTTTACACATGGAGCTAAAGAGCTGTAATGCTATAATGACGATGATGGTTTCTCCCCCTTCCAAACGTCCCCCTGCCACTAATTACAACCACTGCCCTCAAATCTGGCTGTCAGCGTGTTGCTTTGTGTTCAGCCCTTCTGGGAGCGAGAGGCTGTAATGACACTGAGGCACAGCGGACAAGACCATTTTGATATTGTGCTCAAGATGAAAAGTGTAAGACCTGTGTGATCCCATCTCACATACCACCTCCTCCAGACCTCTGCTGCGGAGCGGGAAGTCTGAGTTCTGTAATGACAACCCTGTTGTTTCTAATGGCGCTCAAATGAGAGTCTGGCTCTGTACAGGCAATTCAATTCATTCTTCGTCTCATCCTCATCCCTCCAACCTGTCCTCTGCTTGTCTTCCCCTCTGCAGAGTCTGACTTCACACATGATGCCTTCTGCATGAGCGAGTGCAGGAAGGAGAAGGAGGAGAAAGAGTATTACTGTTACAGTGAGTTTGGTATGTATCCAATGAGAGACACATATGTACTGAACTGATCTTTCCAGTATGAAGGAAGAAAAGCGTATTTCTTGTGCAAATGTTGATCATTGATTTTCCTTCAACCCCAGAGTAATGAAGGTTTCTTACCAATTGTTTTTCCATGTCCCTCAAACAGCTGTGAACGGGATAGTTCATGACATTGAGGTGCTGCGTAAAGGAATATGGCTCATCACACTGATGGTGAGCAGCGACGGTTTCTACAAGATGAGTCGTCTCTACGTGACCCCGGACAGCTTCTTCTTCAAAGTTCGCCTGCTGGTCCTGGACACGTTCAAGTGCAGCAAATCCTGCCCCGATATCAAACTTGGTGAGTGTGTCAACATAGACGCCAAGAAAACTGAAGATCAAATCTGCAAGTGGGGTTCTGATGACCAGTAGCGAACCCTTTACTTACATTAAATAAAGAATAGAAAGAAAAATACCCTTTCATTAATACTTAATTCATAATATTTTTAATTGCTTATTTATCTGGGTCTGTTTATGGATGTTTTTAATGACCTGATTTAAGATGAAAGTTACATGTTCAGAGTTTGCTAAATCATATTGTTTATTAAGTAAATAATTGTTATTATTTTTTATTTTAAGTTTGTTAAGTACATTTCCTGAGACCCAGACATCTCTTAGAAGTTCCCACCTAAGTCTCCTTTTATGAGATTAACAGAGGCAGCAACAACTACTTGTGTAGTGGAACCACAGACTGTATGTAAAGATGGACTACATGACAGCTGCTCAAATGTGAAGCCAAAATGTCCCCCTAGTGGCTGGATGAAGTATAGGTCATAAACCCTCCCCCTCCTCCATGTTAGTGGGTCCAAAGTTAAAGTACACATCGAGTAACCTTTTCTCAAATATGGTTTCAATTACGGTTTTTAAATAGTTGCTATCACACTTATGTTTGTTTAAATGTTGATTTTTCTGGTAAGTGTGGTGGTTCGGATGCGTCGTCCATCTTTATAAAGAGTCTATCAGTGGAAACATAAAAGAAAATGATTGTTCTCTTTTCCCTGGTGCTATAACATTGCCTTTGCTCGCCCCTCAGGGACCAGATACATTATAATGGGGCAGATCTACCACCGGAGGCGCCACCTTCCCAGTGACCTCCTGAACCTGCTGGGGGGTAAACTGAAGCCCGGCGACGGCCTCCTGCGGAGCAACAACTACGTCAAGAGATTCAACAAGCGGAGACACCAGAAAGCCCTGGAGGCCACCCGCACCAGGTGTAGGTGAACAAAACGAGAGAAAAAGAGACAATCGCCCCCTGCTGCAGGGGAAGAGACACTGCAGCTTACGCGAACTGATCGTAACTAGCCCCTCAGTGTTGTGCAAGAGAGAGGACGTTTTGCAGAAGGCATGGATTTACTTTCATAAGGACTGCTCTAATGTACCATTAAGTAACAGAATGTTTTTGAGACACTGAGGTATGTTTTCTCTTTTTCAATATTGTGGGCTTTTATTTTATTTTATTTTATTCGTCTGTTTAATAATCCAGTGTTTGTCATGAGAATCGAAAAGAAAGATCACATCAGAACCATCACACGAACACATACATGATCATTGCAACACTTCAGACAAACATGTTGGATTTTCAAAACTCACAGATGCTCACTTTTAGTATTTTAGTAAATGTCGGAACCTTGGATCTCGTCACACATCCTTTAAATCTCACCGATCCCTTTAACTAATGTATGATGCTTCTTCATTGATATGAATGCATTGTGTTGTATTGCACTGAATAGTATTGTTTTGTAACACCCAATCCTGTGCACGTCGTCCCTGTGGTTGTTATTGGTAAACAGGAAAGGGACTATTATTGTTACAATGACCAAAGGGAGGGATTGAAAGGCCTTAAAAAAGCAACAACCAACCCCAGTGGAGGAGGAAAAGGGAGAGAGAGCACAGGACCTTTGCTTGAGAGCGGCTTATTTTTCTAACTTTAATTATGTGTCCATGATGAAATGTCTACCCGAGTAGACGAGGACATCAAACAAGCCCACGCTGAATGAGGAAGGGGCGTGTTGTTGTAGGGACTAAGCCATAAGTGTAATCACAGGAATCTGATCCTCACCGCACCTGGACACATGACGCAGAAAAGTGCTTCCATCACGGCTCCTCTTTGGGATGTTGGTCTTGTTTTCTTGACTACACACAAACACATGCTCCTTTGGGAATGGCCGGAGCAGCTCAGAAGTGGCATTTAAAGTATTTAGGTAAGATCAGAGGAAAGAGGAGGGCAGTGACGAGATGGAGGAATAAAGAGGGTTATGTAGAAATGGCACAGGGTGGGGATTCAGGCAGGAGCGGGGATGTTGGGTCTGTCTGTCCTGAGCAGAAGAAGCTTCTTATTTAATCAGAAATCTTGATTGTAGAACCACGCTGAGCTTGTGCTTCTTATGAAAGGAAAAATATTTGCACTGAATGCTTCAATTGTTTCTCAATACACAAACCCAATAAAAATGTGTATTTGTTTTCTACTCTACAACCCCATGAGAGATGTATTTGTCTTTAACCCTCCACTCACATTCTGCCCACTGACTGAAACATTGATCCTCATTTTCATTCCCAGTGATTGCATGAGAAGTAAAACACTTGAATTAGAGTTTAAACGTCATGATCTCCATTGGGCCTCCAGGAAGAGAGGCCGACTTGGGAACTGGATGAGGCAGGCAAGACTGAGGCCTCTTTCTCTCCCCCTCTGACCGTCTGTCAGCTGGAGCCGGTCAATTCCCAGGCTCGACGAAGCCTCTATCTGGGATCAGCGCTGGAGGGAACAGATGCAGGCGGGCAGGAAACAGGAGCTCGCTCCACATCTTGGCTACTATCGCAGCGGGAGGACATTCCTCATCCTGGAGGATGCAAAGTAGGAGGGTGAGGGGGGAAAAAAGAGGGGAGAGACGAGGGGGGAGGTGGGAACATCTCATTGTTGTTTCCTGTGTGATAGCCCTCAAGCCACAAGTAGGCGGGTGGGAGAAAGAGACAAGGGTGGTGGACTGACACCACTTTGGGTTCTTGTGGTCATCCACAGCGCTCATGTGCAGCCTCTGGAATCATTTAGCGGTTTTGAGCGGAGAGTTAGGAGGGGGAGGTGAGGCAGAATGGTGTGGGAGGAGAGAGAAAGGTTAACCTCAGGGGTGGCTCTCCTGTGTCATGTTGGTAATTTGATCACAGGGAGAGTTTGTATGAATTTGCATGGAGGTCACGACCTTGTCCTTCAGTGCTCGTGAGCAGATGCCACCTCAAAGCTCTTTCCTCTGAAAGCTTATGTTGACATAAAAGACAAGAGGAACTTTTAACTTAATGTCCCATCCACTCCCTGTGCATTGTGTACGCATTAGCTCCAAATTCAGTTGTTAAACTTGAATATAGATACATACATAAGTCATGTGTACTGGTAATGTCAAAAGAATCTGTCAGCCAAGATGCCATTCAGTGTGTATTGTGGTGTGCCCCAAGGCTATGTTCTGGGTCCTATTCTGTTTGCCCTGTAGGAGCCTCTTCTTCTGCAATTACATTATTTTCAGGGCAAGTCTTTCAGTCTTTTACTACGAACAATGAAACAGTTGAGAGGAAACCTTACATGTGTCTCCTTTCACTGCTCTTAAGATAAGACTCAATTTGAAATCTGCTTTAAATTACTCAAATAGAGAACATATTATTTCTTAAAGTAAGTCTTACTTCTGCCTCTAAAATCTCAGTGTCACTGTGGGCTCTGTGGGTTTTTACTAAACTCATAGCTGGATTCAGGTCAAAGTCCCTCTTCTCTGGCCTTTACAAAAGTCCCTGAACTTTTGATAGTTATTCCACAATGCTGCTGCTAAAGTTTTAACCAGGTCAACTCAAGGGTCTTGTTGGCACTGATGTTGATTTCTGTATCAGAGCTGGCCTTTAAATTCAAAATCAAATACTGCAGTCAAAAATCTGACAACTTCATAAAGATCTCAGATTAGATGATTGATGAGACGATTTTATTTTGTCATTAAGTCCTGTATGACGTCTGCTCTTGAGAAGTGCTATGTTTATACTGTAAGTACTTATAATGTGAGAATGCAGGAGTTGTGTAATCATATGGCCCACAGCAATACACACAGCCTTGTATGATGATGAGGAAATGAAAACTGTAACTCTAGTGTGTATGAGCCCAGCGAGTCAAAGAAAACACAACTCTTTAGAAAACTGGTGTCAAAAACATAACTTTATCCAGGATGAAATGTCCTATCAGGTACAAAAGAGAATCTCTTCAGAGTTGCCACAATCTGTTAAAAACATAGAGTACTTTTTATCTGCAGTTTCGATGCCTCAACATTACCCCCCCCCCATCCAGATACTTTTTGTTAGAGATATTTCTTTGTGGTTTTTTTCCATTAAGAGAAATCTTAATGCAACAACATGGCCAAAGATTANATGAATAAATAATACAAGAGATGCACGTCAATACAGAAGTTATGCTGAACTGGTCGGTTTCTGAAAAACAACGAAAACCTCTAGAATTACTGTCCCACTCTACCCCATTCAAAAACCTCTATGCTCACAATATGCAGCACTTTAATATAAAGGGCAATTTCACCCAAATGTAGAGTTCATTTCAATTAAAGAGAAAAAAAATTGTTAAAATATACTGACGGGCTTAGTTGCTGGTTCGAAAAGTGAAAAATAAAAGTTTCTAGTGCTATATAAATCTTTAATCTCTACATATTTGGACAGCAATAATGTACAATAGAGATTACAAACAGTGGATGAAACACATCATCATCAGATTACAAAGTGATGGACATTTGTGTGAAAGAGAAACACAGAAACAAACACAGACGCTACATTATCTCTCTCAAGTCTTGTCCACACAAAAATAAAAACATAAAGACTTCCTGATTGAGACTGAAATGTTTTTTCTCCTTTGAAATTTTTAACATCAACTGTAGTCGTCCTATGACTGCTCCCTTCCTACAAAATAATTATAATCACAAGTTACAAAAATGTTCCCAAATATGCTAAAAATTTGAGCTATAAAATTTTCATACAAACCCCTGCGGTACAAAGACGCCCCAGCCCCCCCACTCAAAGTTGACTCCCAGACATGCTGATGCAAACCGCAACATAACTGAGTGGATGCTGAGTGGAAAAGTCCATTATCCAATTACCTAACCAATGCTTTGAGGGCGAGTTGAGAGACGTCTGTGAGCCAACCTGTCAGCTTTAATGAAATATGCTGGAGGAGGCGGCTGATAGATAAGGGGCAGGGAGACTTACAGGCTCAGCCGCTGATGGAAACAGACGGGGAGCTTTCAGGAGACACTGAGTGTGCATGGAGTGACGTACAGTACGTGTGGGTTAGTTAAGCCTTGTTCTAGCTTCACCTTCCCCAGAAGGCCTAACAGTCGCATCACCTCCAGGAGCTCAGAACTAGTTACTGTTCTTCACTTGCACTTGGGAAAAAGCACCAAATTGGAACAAATCAGAGGAAGGGTGGGACGGCCTGTTCTGGGTGTTTCCCTCTGGAAATTAAGGTGAAGGCAACACAGCCTTAAAACAAAATGAAGAACTTTTAAATTACTTGTTATTACTTTTTTAATCTGATTGAAAAAATAATCTCTTTGACTACTAGTTTTCACTCTAGCTTCTATGTCAAGCATCCCGGCACCAGGCTACCCTGACAGGGAATGTAAATGAGTTGCACCACTGACAGACATATTCAGATTCTCTGTGGCTGTTTCACACTTCAAACAGGGCGACACACCTGAGGGGACTGTAGCGATGGGGTCAGAAGAGTTGGGTAAAGTGGAGTTAGGTTTGAAACATGGAAGGTGACAGTGTGTTTGTGGATGAATGACCTGAACCGGAAAACTGAGTGAGAGACAAATAATCCAGAAAAATAAGATTCATGAAGTCTGTACGTGGATGTGAAACCTGCAGGTCCTGCATATTAAGCCTCACGTGAAGCACGATCAGGGCATTTCTCAACACTACACAGGATGCAGTTTAAGTTGAACCTCTGGGTGGGAAGAACAAAGCAAAAATATGAGCAGCTACAGATTAAACGCAGCTCTTTCAGAGTGCGCTGCTGCCATGTGATCATCCACAACTTGACAGTTTTAACTGTCGTACTGCTACTTCCATCTGGATCGCTGTCCTCGTGGAGGGGCTGCACTGGTAGGAGCGGCTGGCTGGGAAGAAACCAGCTGCCAAACAAAGTCTGTGGCCGCCCTGTCCCTGGTCTGAAGGTGGGACGTCTTTGTCTTTCTGTCCCACTGATGCTTTTGAAGTCACTTCTTCCCCTTTCAGCACAGCAATGGAGGTGTTGGAGGCCAGGCCCTTTGACACCATTGCAAGCTGGTTTTCAGCTGAGGGGTAGCCCCCCCAGGGTCAGGTGCAGCCTGACCAGGACCACAGGGTTTAATCATTCAGAGGGAACCACAAGCCTCTCTCACAAGTCTTTCTGACACTTGTTTTTTTTGTGTGTTTTTGTTTAGGAGGGAGCTAAGAGGCTGCTGATTGTAGTTTGTTGTTATGAGACCTACGGAGACGGGCAAAGAGAGGAGGAAGAAACAGTTGGAAAACTTCTCTTTGTTTCTTTTTTTTTTATTAAAAGCTTTACAATATGACAAAAATATGCACTAAGAGAAATACAAAAGAAAACAAACAAAACAAAAAACATGTATTGGATGCCAGTGGGTCAGACACTTTGACAGAGACCGAGCAGCCATGTTGGTGAATTGCTGTTGAAGTGTATGATGCAATGTCTTGTATATACAATATTTTTTTTTAAAACCTGGAGACTGCCAAGCTCGCCATATTTAGAACAGGAAAGCTAAACTACATTTCCTCCAATCTATTTTTTACAGTTCCTACCATTATTTTCTTTTAGAACATAGACATAGTCCTTCACAAAAAGAAATAATATGCACATAAAATAACATTATACATGGGTACAGCCAATAAAAAGAAACCAGCAAATGTTGCATGATTCTTTTAAAATGTCTCAGCTAAGAAATGAGGTAAAAATGTTCCGCTGTAGCACATAGTGACCAAATACAATAAACAAACGTTCTGTCAAATTAAAAGATAAGTTATGTGTTTGTGTGTGTGTATGGGGGAGCTAAAGTCAGATTTCACTTTGTCTCTTTTTTTCCAAAACTGAATGTCAAGAAAGACAATAGCAAACTAGTTTTGCCTCGGACATAAACAAAATATCAGCCTTCTGTTGCAAGAAGTGTAAGAAAATACATTTTCCCTTGAGATGCTCTGTGTTACCAACATGGCTGCTGTTATCAGACAGTAGAAACTTTTTTTCTTTTCTTTCCTTTGCTTACAAAATAAAAATATATGCACTTTCTTACAAAGTGTTTAATGCTGTTTTGAACGAGTAGAAAACAGCAACGCGGGATTTCAAATTGTTTTTGTTTGTTTTAAGAGTGACCCCGGCACCCAGGAGTTTGACATCACAATCTGCAAGAGAGGGAGAGGTGGGTAGGGAGGGGGGAGAGCGAGAGAGAGAAGGGGAGAGAGGGGGAGAGGGAGGGAGAATGGATGGTGTAAATACATGCGGGTGAAGCACATCACTGTTTTAGGCACGGTAAGATGGATGCAAACCACAAGACTCACTCAGCTTATTAAACATCAGAGATTCACTGAAAACCTTCACTCAACTCACCATGAAACGTTAAGCTCCACCTCCAGTAAATAAAATCAATAAATAAAGCTGGATCAAAGTATGATAAACATCATAGACTGTATATAAAGATGGACGACGCGTCTCCACTTCCTCAGCCAGAAATGAAGCCATGAAGTCTCATTCACTAACATGAGGTAGGTGGGGTATTTGACCTATACTGCAGCCAGCCACCAGGTGGCAAAACTGACACTTTGGCTTCACATTTTTGGGGAGCTATGATTTCGTCCATCTTCATGCGTAGTCTATGATGCATGTATAAAATTGCAGTTCACAAAATCTTGTGGAATGCATCCACTCAAAGCAATTACATCACACAGGAGAGGCAATGCAGTGAGGTGAGGTCACAGGTGTATACGAGCACAAGGTAGTAGAGTCATTCGGGTTCAACTGTGTAGAAGCAACTGTTTTTATACTATGGACGCAAACAGTGGCAACAGCATGAAGGCCACCAAGAACAAGCTAAAATTCTTGTGTGAAATGAGTATTAAATATTGAACTCTCAACCTGAAACCAAACAGGCCCCAAAAAATTTGCCTGATGAAAATGTCAATAATAGCAGAGAATGCAGCTTCGTTATGTGGTGAAAGCTGAAGCTGATGTTGTTATGGGTGTAAAATCAGCAGACCGAGCCTGAATGTGTGTGAAATGAAGATTCCACCGAGATGGAACAAGGGTGTGACCGAAAAAGCTCAAACTGTGAGCGGAAAAAACACAAACGCATGTATCACTTCTACAGTGTAAACAAACAAGGCCTTTCAAAAATGCCACAAGCATAATAGATCACTGTGAAATTCATGCATCTGTGGAGATTTATCCTTGTCTGTGTTTTATGTCTGGGGACAGAATAGGTCTGTTTGCCACATGAGCATTCAGTCAACACCCAAAAACAGTAGATGACAGTAAAGGCCTGGAAGAGACCTAGGATGGTGACCCAGGAAATCAAAGAGAGGAAGGAGTCAATGAACTCGGACAGTTTCTGACAATGTGCATTTTTTTCTGATATTTCATTGCTTGTTTTTTAGAGAAAGCTTGTGTCTACGGAACCTCCAGGGAGGTCAGGGGTCAATCAGCTACAGAGCAGCACAGCTGGAGCCTCTAATAAGTTGGTCTTTTTCTTAAGGACGTTGAATTCAACAGGGTGGACGGTCTCTGGCTGCATCCATACTTCTATGTTTTCATCTTAAATCAGTGTTTTCAAACTAAAACCATCTCGAATATAACAAATTATAAAGAATTATAATTCGCCTCCCACACGTGTGAGCGGTTGTATCATTGTAAAGTGTAGAATCTAACTGCCCAACATCCCTTGTTATGGATTATCAATGCTGACTACACTGGGAGTTTTCAAACTAAAATGGGGTCAGCAGTGTTTCCAAACAATTAAAGCTAAAACGCCAGAGTAGTGTGGATGGCAGATGTATCTGCAGCAGAGTTGAAAAACAGAAGAAAATACATTTTATTTTTGGATAAAAAATACGGACTCGGTGTGCAAAGACCTCAACTCTTAAAGTCGCCAGCTGCCATTTTGCCTCTCTTTTTCCAATCAGCATTTATCACCCTCACCATCTTACCTGCTGGCTTTGAAGCCTTTGAGCTTCTGGACAAAGAAGTTCTCCAGAACCTCGGCACACTGGTAGAAGGGCGAGTCACTGGGGTTGTAGTAGCGGCAGTTATCGAAGATTTTGGTCATGTCTGCTACGAACTCGGTCAGCTTCACGTACTCGCGCTTCTGTAACCTCTCCTCCATGGTGGAAAGGTCTGAGAACAGTAACAAAAATATATATTTGGTTAATGATTGTATGTATGACAGGAGAATATAAACCATACACATTTAATTGCCAGATCTTGCCAGAGACTAACATATATGCGGAAGCAGGAGCAGATAAATGGCTTCTCTAATCAACTCCTTTCCAAAATTAGCATGTCTGCTGCAGAGTAATTGCAGCCTTTGTGGCATGTCTTTGACACACGTTCAAATATGTTTCCTGTGAGCACAGTTCATCACTTTATATGTGACAGCAAAAATCCAGAGCCCCTGCCAGCTTTAACCTCCATCTATTCAGCCTTTCGTATCAGTAACTGAGATCTGACCCATCTGACATTCCTGAGGAGAGCATCATTATCGGAGTGTCGTTCCTGAGAAAACACGTGCGTGCACACGCATAATGGAAACTTTGAGAGCGCAATCTAAATCAGCCTAGACCTCCCTTGAAACGTAACATTCAGTGTCACTAACCTGTTTGAATCAAGTTAGAAACTAAACAAATATACGATTTTAGAGTTAATGAGGAAGAAGCCGAGGCTTTGTTTAATCTGCTGCTGCCGAAGGGTTGCTGCTCGGCACGGGGTCCCCGGGGCTACGGTTTAAACAAACATATCCGACTCTTAACCTCCTTAACCCCCACCCAGCTGGCCGGGGGCTTACAAACCCTTATGGTCAATATCAAAGACCCCCTTCTTCTCCGTCATCAGATTTCATCTCAAAACCCTCCAAAAACGACTAACGGCTGCAGCTATGACGGCCAAATGTTCTTTTTATTTTCTGAAAATCAACAAGGTCTTTTTCTTGCAGTGGAATCGAGAGGGAAGGGCTACAGTTTCCAGGACCAGGCCGACAGGAGCTGGGTGTGGGGCTGGTCCCTTTCCACAGGGAGCCCAGCAGACCCCGAGCAGCTCATTAACGGTTTGTTTGTATGGAAGTTCAAAAAAAGCCCTGTTGACGAAAAGTCCCCATTTACAAGGTCGGTTTGATCTGAGTTGGAGGGCTTCCTCCCTGCTGGCCTCCTGGCGGCTGCGTTTTTCATGTATAAGATAAAGAGACTGGGTGTTACTTCCATTGCCTGAAGCAATTACAGAATGAAAACAGCTCCACTGAGGCAATTTTATCTACCGAACAGGGACTGCTCCCAATCCCAGTCTGACTCATTCAGCATTAACTATCGGCCAATTCACGATCTGATATTTTCCTACATAAGACAAATGCAACACTAAAAGTAGGTTGACATTAAAATTAAAAGGGCAGTCCATAAACAATGTTTTACATTTGATGAGCTCTTTCCTTCCATAGAGCTCAATGACATCTTATTTATTGTGTCCAGTCGTTATTACCGCCGCCAAGGATGTTTTTATCTGTGTTTGTCTGATAGTTAGTAGGATTACACAAAAACTACAAGATGCGATATGGGTCAGGGAAGAACCCATTCATATTCTGAGCAGATTTGGATCAGGGATATATTTTTACACTTTCTTTAACATTGCAAAGCTTTAAAAATGTTTATTTTTTTAATTGTGTGCAAATTTGGTGCAGCTTGATTGAATTTCAGCGACGGTTGGGGGAGGTATGAACTTTACTGAATGCAGTTTTAGTTTTGGATGATATAATCAAGGGGTGCATCTTGGTGTTTATCTTTATTTACATTTAAGATATCTTTAAATATGACCTGAAATATGACATTTCACTCCCATATATGCTGTTAACTTTGAATCTGAAAAATAAAAAGCGGAATGAAGAAAAGGAGGACAAGTTAATAAGCTCAATATGTGCACAAACAGGCCTCAGGAGCCATGACGAACACAGAAGTAGCTGTAGTAACTGACATATTGGAGATACTGAAGCTTGGAAACATCACTTTCAAACCTTGTTTTCAATAATTCCTATTGTGGTTTTGTGTGTTGTGCAGTCAAGGCCGTTCCATGTTTCCTCCACTCACCCATTGGTTCCTTGATGACCCTGTAGTAGTCCGGGGCGTCATTCGGGTCCACTGGCTCCAGGAACGGCCACGCCATTTTATGTGCCTGCAGAGGAGGGAGAAAGAGAAGGACAAGAGACTTGAGAAAGCTGAAACCAATGAAGAAAAACAAACAGCACCATGAAAATGACACTGGAAGCAGGTGGGTCAACACAGATGTTCTCTCTCTCTCTCTCTCTCTCTCTCACACACACACACACACACACACACACACACACACTTGCATCCCGACCAGTGGACAGAGGAGGAGAAAACGAGAGGAGAAGAGGTAGACGTAGGAGGAAGAAGAGAAAAGAAAGGAAAAAAGCTGAGGCCGGGCAGAAGTCCAAGTTGCATTCTGGGGAGCCGAATCATCAGATAAGACACACAGAGCATTTTTGTTTGCTGCTCTGACACTGGAGTGGGGCGACAAGGAGCTGTGTTAGTGTTCAGTCCATCGCTGCTAATACAACGACGTGTTGCTGCTACTTCAGCTAGTGGTGAGAGTCAGATCTGAAGTTTTTTTTGTCTGTGTTTTACACAGAACGGGTTCAAGTTAAATGATCCACTATCGATTAATGATTATCATAAACCTCTCTGGTGTTTTCATTGAACCATTTTTCTCCAATGCGCACAGCCCGCTGTAATCAAGTCTCCTGTTTACCTGTAAGGAGCGCAGGGTTCTCCGCAGACCTTCGTAGTCCTTGTCTGTGAGCGGGGTGAAGACTGTCATGGCGTCCTCCGTCGACTGACACTGCGGGCACACGTACTCGTCGATGTGGTTGGCCTCGCTCTGCAGGATGCCCACACAGCGACCGTGGTACCAGTTTTGACACCGATCGCATCCAATGTAGAACCTGAGAAGAAGTTTTCATTTGGACCTGTGATTTGTGTTTTGAGTCTTATTACTTTACAAATAATTTCAGTTGTTAATCAAAAGGGTAGGTCAAGGTAGTGAAGTGTAGGGTAGTTAGCGAAGAAAACTTTTTAATTTCTCTAAGCATCATGGAGGAACTGGCAAGATGAAATTCTATTGATATGTGTCCTTGTGTCTTTTTAGTGTAAATTCACACTATTCTCATGCTACAACCCACAAACACACAGGGGTTTTAGGTGTAGCTGCTTACTGGGACTCGTCGTATGGCGTCCGACAGATGCAGAACAACTCCACTGCGCTGCTCTCCTGGCCCCGTTTACACTCCACACAGATGTAGTCGTCCATTTTCTTGGCCTCCTTCTCCGTGATGCCCACACAGTCCCCGTGATACCAGTTGGTACAAAGGTCGCAGCCTATGTAAAACCTATAGAGAGAACAAGGAAGCAAAGGTAATTGTCAGTTGTATCTCACTTGATTAAGAGTGAGCGATGTTAACTTTTTAAAGATAAGTGAGTATGACTGGCCGATGAAAGAATTATCTTCTGTGTTTCCCTCCACTAAAAGTATTTATAGTTAGTCTTCAAAGTGAGCCTGTTCATACTTGGTCTCGTCATATGGCGTCTTGCAGATGCAGTACAGCTTGGTGTCCTTCTTGCTCTCCTTGGTAATCGTCGTCAAGATCATCTTCTTCTTCGACTTGGACTTGGCTGACGGAACCGTTTCCCTCTCCTCCTCCCGTTTCCTCTTGTGTGCCGAGGTGACGGTTGTGGTGAGGTGGTGCTGAGCGGCGATGCCCTGTGCATGTGCCAGAGTGTGTTGCTGCTGCTGTTTGTGGGCGGCCTGGGCTGCGGCCTGGGCCGCCTGCTTGGCTGCAGCCTGAGCCCTCTCTTTCTCCCTCCGCATCCGAAGCAAGTCACGTTTTAGCTCCTCCTGAGGAAAGTGATGTCAGGACGGACAGGGTCAAAACAAGTAGAGACAAATAGACAGCTGCTTTCTAAACTGACAGATTCAGTCATTTCTGTTCAACAATATTTTAAAGGGATTAAAGAGATTTGACACAGATCTTGCCAGACTTTTCTGCTGTTATGCCCCCACCGTCCTCTATACCTGGGCCTCTAGCTGCAGATCCTTGTCCAGAAGCGCTCGCTTCTTCAGGATTTCCATCTTAAGGCTCTCTTTGTGCCGGTAAAGTAGCGAGGAGAGCTTGCTGGCGTTGGCCAACCTCCTTTTCGCCTCCACCACCTCTTCCTTCTTTCTCCTCTTGGCTGCCTGCCTCTCATCCTTGTCTATACGGTCCAGGAGGAACTTCATCACCTGGTTGCATACAATCATTCTGGACAAACACAAAAAAGAAAAGGGGAAAATTTGAAAGGACTTGATTACAGATACATTTTTTAAGTTACACTAAATCATAAAAGCGTATTGTATAGAAGAGTTAAGAACTGTGCACTGAACAGCCCCTTGAATGCAGTAGGAAAAAAGTAGTCAAACCTAAACACATAGCTCTACTGAATCTAATATGGACCCATGTGAAATAGTGCTTTGACCTATTAAGGGTATTTTAAAGGAATAAAAGACAAATAATAATCCTGCTGAGAGAGGAGAGGGATAAAAGAGCAGGGAGGGAAATGATTATCACATATCTGAATCTTGAATTCAGAAAGTCAGTACAAAGTCACAGAGGAAGAAAGTAATCCCTCTGACACACCAGTGGGAAGGAGCCAACTCTTACTCCAAACAATGCTTCAATTTTTCAGAAAGTAAAACCTGCATGACGACTGGCTGCCCAAAAAATGTGAACATCTAACTTTCTGCATGTAAGAAGCGGTAGTGCGTGTCAATGAACAATGAGTGTGTTTCTCTCAGCTTCAGGTCCTTGAGGCTTTCTGGTGACCCTGTTGCATAAACTGCGAAACTACAAAGTCCAGGGTTTAAATCTGGTTCTTGACTTTTCTCGCATCTCATCCCTATCCTGCTTTAAATCTTTTCCTTCTCCACTGTGAACTATCAAATAACATTCTTGGAAAAAACAGACTGCTTGCTTTTACCAAGAATTTCTACTTGTACTGCTTGAAAATGGTTCAGGGTTTCTACTTCCCAAAGTGGAAATACTGCACTGCGATTTTATGCCAACGAGTGCAGTTTTAATTTACAATTTTTATTCCAGACTCATATAAGTTCTCCATCACCTTTGAAATAGAAGCTAATCTTTGAGTCCAAGTGACGACTGGTCCAATTTAGAAGGATTTCCCTCAGGGCAGACTGGAAGTTTCATGTTCAAGAGGCTAAGAACATGTTTAGAGAGGCCATTGTGACCTTGACCTTTGACCTCCAAAATCTATTCAGTTTATCTCTGAGGCTAAGTGAACACTTGTACCAAATTAGAAGAAATTCAAGGTGTGGTTCACATGAATGGGACATACAGACGAACAGAGAACCAGAAATTATAATCGCCGACGTGGCGAGACGCTTTCTCTGTGACTTGACAGACGAGTCAATCATTCAAACAACACAGACTTTTGTAACCCAGAACATAAATAGTATGGAAGAAACAAGTTTGTCATCACTCCTAGTCCCCTTGTTGTGTTACTAGGCCGCGTGTCTCACATATGTTGTTAGAGCAGTAGTTGGTCGTGTTTATTTATGTGAGATGTTTAAGTAGGAGGCAGTGGGGCTGAGAGTTGGGAGAGTGGGGAGAGGTGGACAGATAGAGAATGACTGTGAAGCTGCACTCTCCATGTAAACACAGGGAACAGGAGAAAGTTCACACACTCAAACTCAAGCAAATAGAAATGCATAGGGAGTTTCAAATTACATAGACTCACAGATATCAGTCCCACTTAATATGTCTGATTTTTACATCAAGATCCATAAATTATTTCCTGGGAATATTTCCAAAAATGTAAAACAAACCTTATTTTACAATGGTAAAGGAAGAGAATATATTCCTGGATCTGCCTCTTTCCTAATCCACGAAAAAATGAAATAAGTTCTTTCTTGGCCCATGTCACATCCATCCACTAACTGTAACGTTCAGTAGTCTTGAGTTATCCTGCCGACAAACCAACCAACGGACAAGGGTGGACACATGAAATTTCTTGGGGGAGGTTAATATAGAGAAATTAAGAAGAAAAAAACCTTGGAGATAATATTACAGATAAAAACCATCTCCACTGCTAAAATTTTGTCAGAATTAAATGTGTGTATATGATGCACATACAGGTTACTAATTAAATGGAACATGTAACGTCTTAGTTTGCTGTTGGGCTATCACAAGACACCAGGATATGTTACATGCACCTTGGCATAAAATCTTCAAGACTCTGGACTGTGCAGACGCTGTCTAACACATCAGTCCAAAATATCCCATAGGTGCTCAGCAGGGTTGAGCTCTGGACACTGGAGGTCATAACATATGATTCACATCATTTAGATACTGCATCCAAAACGCTGTGGATGGGAGCATCTTCATCCTGTCTCCTTTTTCAGGGTTTTCTTTTCATTTGGCACATGATTGTGTGTGTAAAAAGAAGAAAAATCATGGCTCTATGTCTGCAGTTTGTTCACTTGTGTTCGCTAACATTCACAACTAAGAATGAAAATCAATCTGAATGCCTTGTTCAGCGCACAAATGTGTGAATGACACACAAACACATCCATGACTGCTGAGGTCAAAGACGGGCCAGGGTTCCTGCAGCGTGCACTGAGGTACACAACGCAAATGCAGTGCGAAAGCGGCGGACGCTAACGAAACAACACGAAAAAACAAAGCTGACGTTAGAGTTCCAGGTAAATAACTTAAAATGACAGAATCAGGTTTTGAGGAAGAGAGAGGATGACATAAGGAAATGGAAAAAGGATGGAACGTAAGCAGAGACAGACAACAGACAGAGCGGCTGTAGTGAAGTCACGGTAGTCTGGGTTTGGTATTACAGGTCTGTGTGAATGGGCACAGTGTTGACAGACCGTCTGTGGACATAAACATGGGGTTGTCAGAGTCAACTGTAGGTCAGAGTGTAATCTCTCTGCAGCAGATGAAAAAGGAAGGAGAGAGGGAATAAGCCTTTTTAAACATTATACTACTGGTTTTGATTTCACTCATTTTATTTGGGTGTTTAAAGAAGTAATAGCTGCACAAACATCTGCAGAATTAAACAAAAAAACCCTCTTTAATAGTGAGCCAACAAACATCTCTGCTATAAACGCATCACTCTGGAAAAAGTCTTGGCTCTTGATAAAACAGTGGCAGTTCTTCTAACAAACTGAAGTACTGTTTGTATACTGTTTGTATACTGCCACTGTAGTACTGGTCACCTTTTTACATCTGTATTCAAGAGCATGGTCTTTTAGTTTGAGAGCAGGACTTATTGATTTCACATAATGATTTGTAATGCTCTCACTCAAAACAATGCACATGCACCTCTGCTTATGCTTAAATTCGCTCTGGCTGTGCACTTGCACTCTGCACTCCAGCTTTAGCTCTTCTCCTTGCGCTCTAGTCTACTCTGGGATTTCTTCTCTGGGATTTCTTCTCTGCACTGAGATTTTTTGGTGCAGACGTATCACACGTGCACAGAAGCAGCTTGAGCGCAGGATCTCTGAACGCAAGCGCACAGTTTGAGCAAGCAGAGCAAACCTAAACACAAGCAGGGGCTATCTGAGTGTGCACACAGGGGTTTGATTGTAACAAAATCTGAACGTGAATTCAATAATCCCTGCTCTAAAACTGAAAGACTACGCTGTTTAATACAGAGAGCTGGTCAGTGGAGTGATACAGACTTCATTTTCTGCCTGTTATAGACAGAATGTGCTCAGAGAGGAGTGACACAGAAAAGAAATATGATGAGCTGAAGCTTGTTTGTATAAAATTCAACTCGCCACAAATCAGTGAAAGGGCCATTCGAGCCTCGTGTGGTTTTATTGTACAACTCATTTAAAATTGGATTTGTCTTTGTGTTCAGGTTTTTAGGGTCACGGTGAGGACATGCAGCTGTTGGTGGTTACACACCCAAAAGTTCCCATGCTGTGCAGTACCTCCCAGTGTGGTGTTGAGTCAGAGTCAAACAGAGGGAGGAGAGGACAGCATGTGTACGGCCTGAGAGGTGAGGTTACAGTTCCATATAATCAGAACATCGACACACGAGACAACATCAATTCAAAGAAGCATGACTGTTTCACAGATAGTGACCGTTAACACTATGCCATTATTGTTTGTTGCTTCAAAAACAAGTTGCCGCAGTGTGTGCAGTCTGATTGGATTGGTTACACTTCCTCTGACCCTGAAGCTTTCAGTGTAAACCTCTGAATGAACCTCCAAATACAAGCAGAATACCATGCTTACATTTTCACACACAAAAAATCTGGACACAAACCTCTGGTTCTCTTCCCGCTCTGCAGGCGTCATGGTCTTCTTCTGCTTCAGGTGCTCAATCACAGCGTTTTGTTTCATTACCACCTGAAACACACGCCGCAGGACACGTCAGAACAAACCAAATCAGAAAGGATATTTACAGCTTTTTTTTCTTTTTAAATGTTTCATTTTAAAGTAGATTTTTTTGGTTTTCAACCACCCAGGAGCTGAACTGGGACCTGCTGCTTAAGGCGTATGTGCCCACTTTATATGTGCCCTAACCTTCTTATTAGGTCACCCCCAAAAAAAGTAATTCACAGTTTGAGAGGAAATTACTATAATGGTGTAGAAACCATATTCTTAAACTGTTTCTGCAGGTTTGAACTAAATAAACATACGACTTTTAAGTAGCATTAAATTAAAGTTAACATAATTAAGACTTACTGAGTAATATTTTAATGTTTTTATGACCTAAAATTCTAATTACTGAATTTTAGACTTTTCAGACCTTAGCACATCATGTCTGTTCTTTAGTGTTGCTGAGCCTGATTGATGATTTGTGTGTACAAAAAAATATATAAATTGATTATTATTAAAGGGAGAAATTGTGGTGACTAATGGGAAGATAGAAAAATACATAAATGTACACACATGCAGTAAAATCAGTGGTAAATATACAAACAGGGACAGTTAAAAACAATCACACACACAGTAGCATTGGAAGGATTAAACCCAACAAACAGGGGCAGAGCTGTAAAAATAAACAGTGTTAGAGGAGGGTTTGGATGTTAGAGGATGGTGACTGTTTGTTTGTTGATGGCAGGAAGACAGAGAGCTTTGACAGAGATGGATGACCTGGCCATGGTGGCTTCCTGAACACATGCATGCTCACATGCAAGCTCTCTCTCACACACTCACACACACACCTGTTTCTGAATGATGTCGCTCTGGCTGGCTGCATTGAGGGCCTGCTCTCTCTTGGCTTCTGCAGCTTGTCTCTTCTTCTGCTGCTGCTGTTCTCGGAGCTGCTGGATTCTCTGCAGTTGCTCCTGGACAGAAGCTGCCTGGATGGTCACCACGTTCCCTATCTGTGAAGACAATTCATGCCTTTTAAAAAGCTGGATTCTTATAAGTCATATCTACTCAATTAAAAAGCAAGATATTCTGGTTTTGGTAAAAGTTGCAGTTGGACCATAATAGATATTGAGAAGCAGCACGATTCAGTTTCGTTTGGAAAAGTATCTCTTTTGAGGATATTTATAAAAGAAAACTACCAAAACAAATGAGTAAGATGAGCTCAAATCATGTCATATCAAATCAAGAGGTGGATGACGCAATGATTTCATAAATTATAAATGAGCCATATACTACTATCTGAAATGCTACAGGTAGCACAAGTCCAAAATACAGCTACACTTTCTAATGTGTTTTACAGTGCTTTTACTGTAATCAAGGCCTTTAGCTTTAAGCAAGGCTTTATAAAAAAGAAAAAGTTTGTACGTGGTTTAGCAGGTTTGCTGCATTACCTGTCCTCCCTGAGCTGAGGTGGTCCCGGTCTGTTGTATCTGGATGGGGAGCTGCAGTTTGATGTGCTGTGGCAGAGAGCCTCCACCCTGCTGGGCCTGCAGCTGGGCCAGCACCTGCAGACATGACACAAGACGACACACAAATTTAACAAATCTGAAAAGAAAATCATGGTTTTGCATGTATATTTACATAAAGTATTTATTTAGATGGTTAGATCACACCTTCAGCTACATCGTGGGTCAAACTTGTTAATGCAGATTGCAGGATGGAAAAAAGGGGACAAAGACTAGACATTGTCTACGACACTTATGAATGGCTGGAGGGAGTAAATTAGTAGTTTACAGTATGATCTGGTTTAAACAGTTTAAGGAACAACAACTTTACGACAGATCTAGTTAAATCTTCTACTCCTGCGGGACACTAAGTTGGTCAAGGTCATCTTACCTACATATGTTTGGAGGAGTTGACTATAAAGCCCAACCAATATGGTTTTTGATGGCAGATGCTAACACCAATATCAGGGAATAAAACATTTCTGATACCGATATATTGGCTGATATATATATAAAAAGGGGGGCAATGATTCCTAAGATGTCTTTATCAAACTCTTATACCAAACAACTGTGATGTTTTACAGCTTAACCACATAAATGCAAATCTTTTCTTTGTTGTGTAAATTGTGCAAATTCCAAGCAAGCATTAACTCCAATACTAATATGTCATTTATTATAAGCCAATTGATAAATCAGTCAGGCTGTAGTTAACTTTCCAGCATCATCCCGCTAATCCTACCTGTACCTGCTGCTGCAGTCCAGACACGCTGATGAGCTGAGGCGACTGCTGCAGCTGCACTGTTCCTCCCTGTGTTTTAACCTGCAGTGACGTGGGTGATTGGATGGGCATGTGGGCCTGCGTCTGAGGCGGCAGTTGGCCTTGTGGGGTTGCCGAAGTAGGGCTGCTGGTGGTGGCTAGTGAAGGCGCTCCCGCCTGGATGGGGGCTGCTGCCTGCTGGGCCGGTTGGGCAGGGGTTTTGGTGCAGGTGGAGTTGGGTTGACCTGGACCTGTGTTGGCTGAGGTGACAGGGAGAGAAAGATCGGAAAGAGGGGATTTAAAAAACAAGCAATAGAATGTCATTTAAAATAGGTTAGATAAGAACAGACCCATAAACAGACCTGTGGAAGGACCCTAAGTCCAATTAACATTTTCGATATATACCTGTGCTTGATGTGGGTGTGGCAGCTGAGGCCAAGGGGGTGAAGAGGAAGCGCTGCACCTGGCCATTGGGCAGTGCCGCCTGCATGAGCTGCTGCCCAGGTCCTGGGATGACGGTGACCCCGTGAGGTATGACCTGCAGCTGGCCTGTGGTCTGGCCCTGACCCTGAACCATCACAGTCAGAGCCTGTTGGGTACCACCGACACCAGCCTGTCGATCCACACCTGAGGCCTGCTGCTTCTACGGGATATAGGGTAGAGAAGACGCTTGTTAGTAGAGAGATAAATCAGGACATTGCTGTTTTTTCCGAAATAAACTGGTTGAGGTGGGAAAATAATCCTTTAATAAATTGAGTAAGTATTCACATCTTGTTAAAAGTTGATTTTCTTAGCTTTCTAAACTTCAATACTTAGATTACTTTACATATTATTGCACCTACACTTCCTGCCACCACCTATTTGTTCTAAAGGTTCCTATGCTTCACTTCATAGAGAACTTGAGCTGGTTTATGAACTTTTGCTGGTATGGTGCTATAAAGCCCAATATAAACAGAGGAATGTGAAAAATTCATGAATGTTTGGGAGGTGTTGATTTCTCACCCTGCACATAGGGTGACCTCACTAACCTGTGTGAGCTGGGTGAGCTGTGCCAGGGTCAATTTAACCTGGCCTTGCCCTTGTGCCCGTGGGGTGCCGGGTGTTGTCTGGCCTGCTGCCTGTCCTAATGTGGCGGGGCTCGTTGCCCCCTGGCCAGTGACAGTGGCAACAGGGCTGGCACCGGATATTGCCGTGGAAACTGCCTGACCTCGGATGATCTGCGTCACTACCTGCTGGCCGCCCTGACCTGGAAGAGAGGGAGGGGCAGCAGATTTGACACAGATGATAAACATGAAGCCAAAGAGGCTCAGCAACACTCAAAAACAGACATGCTGACTGACAGAGAAGAGATGACATTCACTGCCAGTACTTTGTTAATCTCTGAGGGGGTTTGTACTTTGTTCAAATGAAGTCTTCAATCTCTCAGAGGGAGAACATTACCTTGCTGGACCACGAGAGGTGTTCGTAGTATTGTCTTTCCCATGGGGCCTGTCTGCTGGAGTGGGGTTCGGATCACTGTCATTCCTGGACGGATCTGACTGCCAGTTGCCAGAACCTATAAGGATATTTTCATCAAGACGTTACAAATAATATTTCAAGGCCAAAAGGTTCTTCCTGGATCTGTCAGATTTAGACATAAAACTGAGGTCTATGGTAAAGGTCACAAGAAAAAACAAAAAGAGGAAAAGTAATGATTTCTATGATAAACAAATGTGCAAACAACAAAGACAAAAGAAACAGTAATGTGAGAGATTTTTTGCAGTAGAAAGGAGTGGATGAGATTTCCATAGTAAGCATGAGAGGATGATCATAAAAAACATTACAGGATACTTCACAGCAGATAGAAGGCAGACGTACCTGTTGCTGGGAGCCGGGGGTATTGGGCCTGATGTTGAGTGTGGTTGTGCGTGGCTGGAATGTGGTGTACGTCTGGGCGCCACCCGCTGTGCTGGACGGGATGATACCCAACACTTTCTGCTGAACCACACCTACAAAGAGAAGAGGAGAAGAAAGACCCCGGATTAAACCAATTAGAAGGAATGAGAAGAAAGAAGGAGGGATGGGGTGGAACGGTTTCTCAGTTTTAATAACTAAGTATGAACTCATAACTAGGGGAAAGATACGAAAAGGACCAGGAGAAATCCAAAATGTGATGGAGAAATCTTGAGAGAAATTTTGGAGCTCAGTGATATGTGTTTGTCAAATATCTGACTTTTATTACCTCAAACACACCGGCATTTCAAAATGCTCCAACATCTCTAATACAATTACATGTTTGCATGTCACCAGGGAGCAGTTGTGCAGAGGTCCTTCACTGACACAACTCAATACATTATTTGTGGGCTTCTCTCCTGGCCAGATGTCGAGCTTTTGATCACAGCGCCAGTAAATATTAGTCGAGCAGGTAAACAAATCTTCAAAGTCTACCTGAAAGCTTAGTTGGGTTTCCCCCAACATCTCAGACCCCCCCTCATAAATTATGCATGAATCCAGATCCGACTTTTAAAACTTTAATCCGACAAAGGCAGCGTTTCATGTTTGTTCACCAGGCTCTGTGCCTTCATGAGCTCACGTGAAGCCGATGGCAGAGATGGAAACTGAGAGAGTGCAGCACTTTTTCCTCTGCAGCCTCGTTGCTGTGGTTTCTTAACCGCAACCACGCAGGTAAACCTATACATCAAGGGTTTCCTTCTTCAAACAGGGACGTTAAACCCGCTCGTAAGACCTGGGGAGTAGCTGCTCTGGTCGCACACATCAAACACTGGTTTCTATGGACTGGTTGTTTGGAGAGGTCGGGGAGTTGGGACTCCGGTGAGTGGAGAGGTATACTTTTATTCAAAAAAATGGAGGGAAAAAAAGAAAAATGGAATCCCACTATAGAGGGCTACCTGTCTAGGAAGCAGACCTCAGGGTAAACTTGTTTTCCTCCCTAACTTCCTTAAGCCATTCCAAAACAAACAGGGCGCCCAACAGTCATGCTGGATAAATACACGTCCATTAAATGGCTACACTCCACCTGAACTTAGTTTCTCCTTCATGGCTACTTCAAAGCTAAGAAAAGTCAATTTCTTCATATCCTTGCTGAATATCATTCTTTTTATCTGGTGATTGCAGGTATTCATCAAACATTACATTCATTGTATTTCTAATGAGTTAGTCTTTACTCTTTGTTTTGCTAGAGGATTTCAGGTTTCTTTTCTAATTTCTACAGTTGTGGAAATGATAAAGTAGGAAAAATGACAGTTGCTGTTATGGCTGTTAAATGGATTAAAACCTGCAAAAACTCAATTTTTCCAGTAACTGACTAATTTTGTAGATACTAATATCGCAGCACGAGCCCGTCAACATGTCAGACCACCTCTATCGTGTTGAGAAGTAACCATCATGTAATAACTTGACAGAAACACGTTGAGAGTCAGTACATCTCCTCACCTGCATTGTCAATATTGACATTTAAAAGCGCCTAACTAAGGATAGCCCCATTCTGAATCACCAGTCCAGATTTACCACCTCAGACTACACAAGTCCACCATCCCAAAAAAACATCCAACCAAAATAACAGCTTTCTATTAGATTACCATGCCGACAAGACAAAACCAGACATGATGTGCCGAACCAAACTGAGTTGCTGACTCATGAGGTTGGAACAGGATGGGCACCACAATGGGGTGGTGCCACAGTAGCACAAAACACAGGGAGCTACTGGCTGCTTCTGACATGGTAGCACCTTCTGTACTTCTGTGGCATCTGCAACCAGACGGAAAACTACGTTCAAAGCACAAACCCATTATTAAAGCTGGACAGTGCAAAAATCACCTCGAATACCCTCTATCTTTTATCATTATATGATTTAATTTAGTTTCAGGGTATCATATCATAACTGGTAAAGTCTATGGCAAAACACTTAAGTAATCTGGGATGTGGGCTGGGGTTCTGAGGGCTGGAACAAGGCTTAAGGAAGTGCTTTAAAAGTGTGAGTGATTTTAAGCATGCTAAAGCAAACGACTGCATTAAGTCAATGGTGAGTTAAATGCACACACGTGCTCCATAGCTCCCCAAAGATGTGGGATTTGGAAAATTATCGTCTACTTGCATTCTTGGCTCGCTGACAGTGGTGATCAAAGACAGAGGAATGTCTAATTTGTGTCGAATTAGTAGACTTCTAAATATTTGGGTCTGTGGTAACTGGCAGCAATAACATTAAAGAAAAAAGCTGAAGACAAACTCAGTCCTTCTCAAGCACCATGCGCACCATTGGTCCAATAAATTGCTTCCACAATGACATGCAATTAATGAGCCAGATCTAATTTGGCTCTTTGACACGTTTGAAAAGTCTCAGCTGTGGGTCTGAGGTGAAGAAACCAAAACACAAAGGAATCTGTAAAAGGTTGTTGATGGAAAGACAAGTCTACACTGAATGACTGTAACTTGTGCTCGGTGTTTGCCTCAAAGGTGAGACTTATAAAAAACCCTACCTCCTTGGGAAGTTGGCACATTGACTGTGACGATCTTGCTGTTGGCGGGCAGTGGCAGCTTGGTGGTCACTACCTTTCCACCCACTGACGTTCCCGTAATCTGGAAGGTGTGCCCACCCGACGTGGCCAAAGTGGTCTCGGTGCCTGATAATGAAGCAAATAGAAAAATTAGGACAAATACTGTCAACTCAGTAACATCACTACTTCTACTTCACTACTAATTTCCTGTCACTTGAGAGCCAATAGTTACACTCCTCTAAAACATACCTTGTGTGCTTTGACCCTGCTTGACCCAGGTGGCGAACGACTGCTGGAAGTTCTTGTTCTGCTGGAATGTGACGGGGGTGCCCATCTTGGTGGACAGTACCACCTTGGTGCTGGATGTGCCCTGGCCTGTCAATGAACCGACAATGACTTTTGGTGTGGTGATAGATGTTGAGGGAGTCCCTGTCGGAGTCGCTGTTCCTGAGCCTGGTTTCTGCTCGAGACGTTTCTGAAATGGTAAATGAGATGGTCAGTACATTTATGTAGCAACTAATGATAAAAAGCCAAAAAGACTTAGTTGGTTAAGATTGGCACAGACTGAGATGTTTGCAGGTTTGCTGCCCGGTGAGTAGAAATGAATGGATTGTCTGTTGTTTTGGCAGTGAGTGCTTGAAAAGGCGTGTGTGTAAGTCCCAGAGAACCAACATTGTCCACTGTTACAACTGAGCTTTTTCTTCCCAAAAAAGTAAGGCACAAGACCTACATGAAACAATAGAAAAAAAAGAATCTCACATAATCTTTATGCAAATTAAGTCATGCTTTTGAAGAAACTAAACTAGTGGAAAAAATGTATTCTTCCTTTCAAGGGATTCGCAGACAACAGCAGTACTACCAAGATAAAAACAGTAAATCAGTCTGAAAGACAAACTGAAGCTCATGCACATCATAGTATAGTGTGAGATGTGGACCCTGCCCGCTTAATTACAGCAGAAAACCCAGTTCAACCCAAGTTGAAATGAGATGCTACAGAAGGGCATTTCATAGACGGAACAATCTGGCAACAAGCGGGACAGTATGAAGACCTGCTGAAGAAGGTCAAAAAACAGACAAACTAAGACCATCCTACAGGGTACAGCAAGGAAGACAGAGAAAAAGGATGGACAGACAACATTGCCGAGTGGAGGAGAAGAAACACTGCTACTGCACAAGCCCTTGGGATGAGGTAGGTTAGTAGATGGCTCCTCAGTGCAGCAACAGTGGAAAGATTACTGGACTAAACTAGGCTTACCTTGGCCTGCTCTGCTGCCTGAGCTTTCTCCTTCTCCACCCTGTAACAGATACAAGAACCTGTCAGCAAATATATTGCTAGAAGTTATAATAATCTCGATAAGCTTAACATCATCAGGCAAACATATTTTGAGCATGATTTCCCACTACAAGAATAGTGGCATTTATCTAATGAGTCAGTAAATACCATGACCATATCTGGCTATGTGGTTTATAACATGTTTATTAATTGATTTGACAGACTACAAGACTGATGCCACGGGTCAGATGTAGACATCACATGCTTGACCGTTGTGACCCTCGACCCTCTGACCTTTCTGAGAAGGCTCTGATCTCCCACAGGTCCAGCTCCTCCTCAGCCACCCACGTCTCGATCACAACTGGGCCCGTCTGCTTGGCAGGCTCGGGCTTCTTGGGGCGCAAGGCACTGGAGCGCAACCCCTTCCTCTGAGGGGTGTGGGTTTCTGGGATGGTGGACAGATTAATAAATTAAAGACAAGATGACAGTTTGAATGTTTGCATGTTGTGTTTGGGTGGGGAGATGGAGGAAAGACCTTTCAGCAAAATACTTTGTGTAAGCAATACAAACAATACAATTGATGGATGGACAGAAATACCTCAATTAATTCATACTGTTTCTCAGTTTTTACTATGGTTTTGTTTAGATAATCAAATTCTTCAATTGTGTGGCCTTAAACTCTTTCTTCAGTGTTCGGAAAAATTTTACCTTTCGGTGTCTCCGGCACTCCAAGTGGACAGATAATTTTGCGGATGCAGTACTCTGAGCGAAGGCCGTAGGGTCCCACGTCACGGCGCTTGATGATCTCCGTCGTGGTGATTTCAGTATCCGACGTCTCTGTAGCAATGAGTGGGGATAGGGCTGGGTTGGTATGGTGATGAGGAGGAGAGCCCGAGAAGATGGAGGAAATGCACTCCAACATAAACACAGTGACAACCTAAGGAGACTGTCGTTTTAGGACAGATATATTGGCTTGTGGAGACGAGGAGGAGAGCCCGAGTAATACAGCAATATATATCTCAAGTTGTCGAAAAGAACGGTGGAGTTTTAATCTTTCTATCATTCACAAAAAAAGTGAAGCTAAATTGACAGGTAAGAAAGCAGTAAATATCTTTTCTTAAAAAACCAGTTAATGTTAACCTAAAACGCTGCTGGTGATTTCACACAACACAATTTAGACCAGTTTTGCTTCTACCTCCCAGAATGAAGAAAACCCTTATATGATGATTTGGGCGAGTACGGTGATGTTGTACCTGTGCGTGTGGTGCCGATGGCAGCGGACGGTTTGACAGCCATGTCGTCCCACCTCAGAGAGGCCCAGAGGAGCCTCAGCATCAGACTCACACCGGCCAGAGACTTCACAGTCTGCAGACGATATCTAGAACATAACCAAGAGTTGCAAGCATTAGTAACATAAACCATAGCTGCATGTAAACAACTTGAACTAAGAACTTTGCACCTACACATCTGAAGAACATATTAAAGCTAGAATTATCATTACTTGCATTTGTACACCTCCTCCAACCAGATTTGGTCACAATCTCCCAATCTGCTTTTTTGCAGGATATTACGATATCAAGAGGTTGACCACTGACATTTTGTATATTAAATGTCACCACCTAATACTTTGCCTAAAAATGGGTCATAATCAAGGTATTAATTCTTGTGCTATGGCGAAAAACGTGTTTTGTGAGGTCACAGTAACCTTAGACCACCAACATCTAACCAGTTCTTTTGAGTCTGAATGCCAGTTTGAGGGATTGTGCTTGAGACTTTCCAGAGATATCACATTTACGAGAATGATTTATGGATGTACGAATGCACAACCTAAAAAGTCGGAGGTTATATAGAAATAAACTTGTGAAAAATGGAAACATCTGTTGTGTACGTTTTGGGGAACAGTGAAGGTAATAAAAACAGCTGTGGGGCGGAGGAAGGGTTTCCAGCAGTCTCCTCAGCCCAGTGTCATGCAGTTCATTAGACCAGTGCCACTGACCAGCGAGTCGCTCAGCATCATGGGACAGGAAGAGGCAAAGTAAAAACAGAGGTGTTTGGAAATGTTGCTGTGACCATGAGCACATCCATGAAAGAAACAAACAACTGCCTGCCATCTTAATTGAATCATTTTCAAACATTCTTTTGAAAAAATAAATGAAAGTACATGACACAACTCAGATAGTTCAAAGTGGAAGCTTGAGCATATTTCATTTGTTTTTTAAAATGAAATAAATAATTTTGTGTGTAGAATTGGATGAAAACATGTCATCCATTAATGGATAAAATTCCTGAAATTGTATCTAAGAAGACATATTCCTTCTGTGAATCATTATGGCTCGGGCTTACAGCAATAGGATATGGTCATTTCAAGTATCTGCAAACACATGATCATCACAGGGCCGTGTGTGTTGTTTGGGGTTTGGTAGATATTCCTTTTCCCGTGTGTAACCACAGGTGGGAAAATATCCCTGGGTTGCAGGGCTGGGTCACTGCACAAAGTGAACATCCTGACACTTCTCCGACCGCTGGATGATTCATGTCTGCTTCGGAACTCTGAGGTCCAGTCAAAATTACCAGAGGTCCCTTTGTGACACCCGGCTCAAGCCACAACATCACTCAGCGCCAAAGCCACGAGCGTCAGACAGGGAGGGAGAGGACTTAATGAACGACAAATCAACAGGACGTGGCACTGTGACATAACTGGGAGAGGGTTTAAAGGTGAATGATGAGGAGAAATATTAGCATCTTTATCCTAAATACTTTTTTGTAATTGTCAGACATTGTAAACTGTTAGAAAACAGTGGGGTTAACAGAGATAGCATTTATACTATTGCATTTCTTCCAATAAACTGAGTGGGTATGAATATTAGGTAGACTGCTCTGATAAAAAAAAAAAAAAAATTCAACTTATAAATTGGATATTTATACATAAAAATAATGCTGAGTCTTTCCTGAACTTTAATAAAAAATACATTTTCTGTAATGCCACTGCAGTGTTTTCATCTAAGATCTTTTGGGGAGTCAGTTGGTACAGGAGGCAGGATTATTTTTCTACTTTATTTTTTACCACTTTCTGTTTTCTGTTTTCATCAGTGTTTGTTTATTTATTAGGAAGCAGTGTTACGCAAAAAACTCTTTTCCTGAAATTTTGTGGAGGTGTGTGGCATGAGCCAAGGAATAACCAAGAAATGTTGGTGTGGCTCCAGATCAGGAAGCAGATCCAGGAATCTTTTTTTCACATTTTTTTAACATTGGGAGACATGGAGTTTTTCAACAATTTCATTGATGGATCTCCATGGAAATAAAAAAAAATCTGGCAAGTTTAAGGGACTGATATTTATGAGCGTTTGCAATTTGTTACAGATCCAAATAAAAATCTCCAGCCAGTAAATTTAAATGTGGTTTCATGAGGCAACTGTTGGGCTTTGGTGGAGGTATGTACTCTTCTTAATGCCATTGTAGTGTCTTTTATATTGATACTATAAGAAATAGACTATCATGGGTAGAATTGTTTGGCTATGGCTGAGGTTTGTGCTTGATTGAGGGCCTCTCTAGGTGTAGTTAGTACAACAGTAACAGAGAAGGGATGAAACTAATGACCTAACTAATGAGTGATGTTTGGGTGGTTGACAACCTTAATTGATCACGAGAGCAAGCTTACCTCCAGGTGATGCCAAATGTGGGCCTGGGTGAAGGGTATGGCCAGATATCCAGGGCTGGCTTGGCGTTGTAGCTAAAGACAGGAACCTCCCGGAATCCACCTCGCCTTGCTAGCACCTTCAAGTTGTCATGTGGTAGTACAAAAATGCTCTTGCGGTTGCTCTTTGTGACAAACTTGCGGTAAGAAGGAAGCGCTGTGCCGGAGCGTGTCTTCTTAGTGCGGGAGAATTTCAGGAGGCGGACGTGATCCTTTGTTGATGAAGAGTCCTCTTGGCTCACAGCAACAGAAGTAACCAAGGTTTTCCCATCGCTGTCAGTTGTTGACTTACTGACAGACGCCAAGAGCATGGTTCTCTGTTCTTGTGACACCATCTCGCTCTGGCTGTCGTCGGACTGACCGTCAAGCCCGGGGGAACAGATTTTGGTCACAGTTGTTTTGGTCATGGTTTTAAGTGTGGACACTGCGCTGCTTTCTGTTGTTGACACCGTTTCTCCACATGCACTGGATGGCACGTTGGCTGTCCTCATCTCTGTGGAAACAACTGTTGTGGTGGTGGTGGTGGACTTTGTGGTTACCTGGGTGATGATGGTTTTGAGTGGGTCTGTCGTCCCACTGTTACTGTTCTCCTCAGCGAAGTCATCACTCAGACTCGACTCCTCTGCTGAGGGGATAGGGGAGGGTGCCATTCTGATGATCTTGACAACAGAACCGGCGTTGGTCTCATTCTCAGCCGGGGATGTGCTGTTGTGCTGTTGAGTGCTCTGAGTATTGGCTCCAAGTGCATCTAAGTTGTTTTCCAGCCTTGTTATCTTTATTGGAGGTTTGTATTCCTGGTCTAATATCGATGAATTACTCTCAACCTTCGAAACTAGACCTGGTTCTTTTAGCCCAGTCTCTGTGCTATTGTTCACAGGGGTCAAATCTCCATTAACCAAAGGCTTTTGCTGCGTGCTGTCCTTCAGTGAGGCAACTAGTTCTTGTTCTTCCATTTTACCAGTGCTGTTCACCTTGGGCCGGGGACTGTTGGTGAGCACGCCATTATTTGAGCTCATAACAGAGTTATTCAACATGCTTTCACTCTCCAAGCTGTCATTACCATTTACCTGAGGGAGCGGAGAAACTGGCGCGGAGTCGGGGGAGCTAATACTTTTGGTTTTGTGTTGTCCAATTTCTTGGTTCTCCACTGGCCCTGTGCCATTTTCCCCAGCAGTTGAATGTGCTGGGTTTTGCTGGACAGATTTAGAAGGGGATGTGTTCTGACCACTTTTTTGGTCAAGTAGACTTGTAGATGTCCTTACAGAGTCCAATTTTAAATTGGGAACCTCAGACCCTGTATTGTCAATATGCACAGCCTTGGTAACATCTGATGCTACACTGGCTGTTTGTTGCTCTAAAGAGCTATGGGTTCTCTGTGCTGTTGTTTCCCCTTCAGGCAGTTTTACTGCCTCTTGCCCTGAAATGTCTAAAATGGTTTCTTTTGGCCCCTTAGTCCTTCCCAGGAAGTCTGCATTTGTTTCCTGGGGCAAGGAGGTGTTTTTATTTTGTGGCGAATCTCCACCTGTACCTGTACTGCAACTGTCTTTAGGTGTGGAGCCCAGACCGGCAAAAGGAAGGGGAGTTACAGTATCCTCTGTAGTTTTTGAGAGTTCAGTGTAACTCTCCCCTTCATTTTCTCCTCCTCGCCCTGGAGTTTGTGGTGTGAAAGATTTCTCCTCCACTTTGAGAACGTTGCCCAATGCGAGCTGTGTCTGAGCGAGAGTATGGGGCTTGAGTGGCGACCGTGGCCGGACTGGAGTGCTCGGAGCAGGTGCTGAAACTTGTGAAACTGGTGGAACTGGTGCAGGGGTCTTGAGTTTGGAGGCAGACACTTGCTGCCTCTGCTTCTCTTCAATAACGTGTTGCTTCACCCGCCGCTCCAGCAGACCGTCCAGCTTGGAGGACTTGACCTTCTTCTTGTAGGCGATGCGGGTGAGAAAACCGTTGCTGACATCCACCACATCGTAGTTAAAGGGTCGTTGAGAGTCATCTGTTGGCTCCACCTTCACGGAAGCCTTATCCTCCTGAGTACTGCACCCTGGAGAGGGAATACATTTATTGATAAAAAATAATATGCTTCTTCACGGACACATCACATTGAAGACAGAATTGGTTAAAAGGCTTCTGCAGGATACACAATATTCAAGTGAATTAATTTTAAACATAAATTGATCAAATTTGACATATCACACCACTCATATTGTACATGCACTTGAATACAATGCTATTAGACACAAAGTCACACTCTGTCATACTTTGCTCTCCATCCAAGCGTGTTTCTGTGGGATCCACCTCCATCTTTGCAGGTGATTCCTCAGCCAACAACTCCTCTGTCTTTTCTTTTACATCCATCTCTTCTTCCTTTTCTTCTTCCATCATCTCATCAGACTCAGGGGACAGCAGAGGATCTGTTGCAGGTTTGGAGAGGCTGCATGAGCCTTGATCTTTTGCTTCAGTGATTAAAACAGCAGCTCCCTGGGCTTCTGGTGCGGCTACGGTAGGTCGTTGACTCAAGTCGAGCAGGGTACACTTCTTGCCAAGTTTCGCATCTTTGGAAAAAGATTATTATTATTTATTTTAATTTGAAACGAACTTGGTGATAGTGACAGTTGCAATTATTCAAAATGTAAAAATAAAATTCATTATAAAAGGAATATCATGTGATGTCCAAGATGAAACCATCAGAGTTGTCAGTGCAGTTTGACAGTGAATTACATTAATTTAAAGTTGAATGAATAGTTATAAACTGTGAAGTCTTTGATTGAAGTTATTATACACGAGTCAAGACATCAACAGACATATCTAAAGACAGACTTAATTCATTGAACCCAAAATTCCAAATAACTAAAAACCATAATTTAAGCCCCAAAGTGTCCCATTCCAGACCTTCCAGTTCTTTGCGGTAGTTGGCATTGGTGTTGCCGGGAAGCCTGGGGACAAACCGCTGCACATAAGTCTTACTGATCCAACTCCAGCCCCCGTAGCCTGTAACGCGATACTCCTCTCCTTTCTGCTTCCACACCTTCACATTACACAAGAAAGGAGACACAGAATGAGAAAAATAAAGATAAAGAAACAACTCGGGGTGAAGGGTTCACAATGGGACAAGTGAATTCAGAGAAACATTTGAAAGAAAATTGGTGGGAAAGGGGATGGCAACAAGAAGATTAAAAGTTTAGAGGTTATTCACACACTAATCACTAATTGCTGAGGGAAATGAGTCACAGCAAAGCTCAACTCGCTGTATCAAAGACCCCTTGATGGTCACTCACGCACAAACACACGACACACACACACGTGTTTCTCACTGAAATGACTCAGATTTCCAGGCATTAAGGTTTCAAACCTGGAAGCAGACCAGACTGAAACATTATGTGTTTCATGTTGTGTTGGTAAAGACAACAGGTCTTAAAAAAATTGGATGGTTGTATCTTATGAAATCAACATTGCGTCAGTCAGCTATTGCCACAGGATTTTCTGCAATGGTGGATTGAAAATTTTGTCATTTAATATCAACCTTAAAAATTAATTATTACATTGTAATGGCAGCCATTCTGGGCAAATCTGTCTCAGGTTGTATATAAAGCTGTAGTGTTGACCTGAAGGTATGTCATGTCAAATTGCAGAAAGTTGGACCGACCTGGTGTTTGATTGGGAAGGTGTATTTGACCCAAGTGGCCTGTAGCATCGTCTCTTCATCCTCCAGCTTTTTCTCACGTTTTTTTACTTTCTCCTTCTCCTCACGCTCCATGGATGTCATGCGATTTAACCTGAAACAATGTTAAAATTGTCATTCAATGCAGGTCTTACACTGAAAATCATCTGTATTTATACAAAGACTAATTATTACTTAAAGTTGTCATTTGACAAAATAACCCTTTTTTAGCCGTTTGTAAAATAAGCATTCAACCTTAGATTTCCACTGGTGCAGCCAGACTGAAATGTCTGTGTTGTGCTCAGAATCATCAAAGACATGTATGCTGCTTGTGTGAAATACACACACTTGTCCTGTGGCTCACTCTCTCTCTCCATTACTTTGATGCTCACAGTTCAGTTACACACATAAACACACTGTGGGCCCGACCTTCTGAAATCTTGGTCAATCACTTCTTTAAAGGGCCGCTGTGGTGTTGAAGCAGTGGTAGAGGCAGAGGTGGGTGGCACTGGACTCGCAGTCTAAATATTATGCCGCACAGCTACGGTGGGCCTTTTTGATTTGATCTGGTTATGATCGCCTCGGCCTGCTAAACTGACCACACATCCCCTTGAACTTTTATTTGATAGACTGAATTTGTGGATGGATCATGTACCTACTATTATGTTTATGTGTGTTTGAGGGATTACATCAGGCAGTAAAAATACAGATTTAAGATGATAAAGTATTGTATTTGGTTTTGTATACAATATTATATTTGTAGTATTAGTATATACCTTGTGTGGCCCAGTGAGTCTTTCCAGACAGGCAGCATAGCCACAGGTTTAATGGCACATTCCAGGATAGCAAGAGCCAGCGCAAACTCCCTGGCTTTACTGCACATCTGAACTGCTTTGATCCAATTTGTCCTGAAAAACAAAGACAGAATCATTTAAAACTTGTTTTGCTTTAAGTTGTCTGTCTCGTCATGGAATGCTTTTACTTTTGGTACAAACAAAACAGCTCTGACATTTTCTTTTTTAAACAAAACATGACAGATTCACTGAACCTTACTGACAAACTTAAGCAATAAAACAAAACAAATACCCACTGTACATTTTTGTGTGATTAAAATCTAAAGACAACATGTATCATTTCTATATGCTCATCTTTCAATCTGTTCTGTACCTGTGTGAGGCCCAGTTAGGGTGCATAAATGGGGCTGGAACGTTGTTCTCCAGCTGGATGATGGTGAGTCTCAGTGTGGAGATGGTGAGAACTTTAGAACCATGAATAGAACCGTTCCACTTAAATTCTCCTGCAGGTGTCATGCAGAACTTGTGCGAGAGATGTCGCCTCTTGTCGTGGTCCTGAGTTTAGGAATCAGACAGAACAGAGGCATTCAACTCAACAACTCTCTCATGCGGTATCTATAAAATGATTGTCTTAGTTTCAAGTGCACCCCATCATAAGCCAAAGTTTATAATCTTTGACCTATCTGAAATACAAACACAGAAAGATCCGGTAACCAGTGAACCACACAGCATTGTTTTTGTGTTCATGAACATTCAAATGGCAACACGAGAGTTGTCATGCTACTTGCCTCTCTGTGCTGGTGCTTGTTGAGGGCCAGGGCATTGGAGCTGTACTGGTTATGATAGACGCGGTACTTGCCCTCCTGGCCCAGCTTGAAGTATTGACAGAGGGCTCCCTTCATCACCACGTCTTTGCTGCTGCGCGTGCTGACACGCGTGACGTCGCCTTGTGCGTTAACCACGAGCACCTGTGGAGGTGAGAAAAATTCAATCAGCACTCACTACAACTGCTTGCTCCTTCAGTGACACTAATATTGCAACCTTACAATAAAATAGTTTCCTTGTTCTTGGGTGATCGTTACTTAAATGTAGTTCCTCTGTGTATTGAGCTACAGTAGTCCTGACTGGTGTAGTCAGGACATAGTTGGCGCTTCCTTTCATCTCTCTTCCTTCTACAAACATCGACCTGGTCAGTCCCCTTATTTTAGACCCTGTGCAATATTATCTGAAAGAGCTGAATCTGTTTCTTCCATGGCTCCCACCTCCTTGCCCTCTTTAAAGCCCTTGTTGGCTTCATGAACAGCAGCAGCCACCTGTTGGTTCTTCAGCTGACTCAGCTTGCTGTCTGGGTTCCTCAGCCGGGTCACCATGCGAGTCGCCGAAGACCTCTTACAGCTCTCACCATTGGCCGAGTCTTTACCGTCTCCTGAAAATGCAGAGCCCATGTCAGAGAAAAACAGAGGGAACTTTGTCATACACAGTAGCATTTGAACTAACGTGATACAATCTGCAGAGATTATTGATAGAGAAAACCTCTTGACAGTAATCACATCACACACATCACTGGCATTTTAACTAGGTGCTACTATGTGCCAATGACTTGCATGATTTAGGGCACAATTATACATTTAAGGACAGCTAATCATTAACAACAAAACAAGAAGCAATTGCTTTGTCTGACCTGTGTCATCAAAGCTCGCCAGGGATGACTGGGAGGACTTGTCAGCCAAGTCTGGCGGTTCTGGGCCCCTGTCTCCCATGCTGCCATTACTGTTCTCTTCACAGGTCTGAGAGGGCTGGCTCAGGCTCAGGATTCCATCACCACTAACAGGATCCGATGATGAGTTTTCTGCTACAAAGACAGAACATTACAAATAGGGTTGGCTTAGTAAGTTTGCATACAGTATCTCAACTGTGCTGTTGTTGCTGTCATTATCTGAGGCAATTTTCATGGACAGCAAGATGCAGGTGTTAGCCCAGACTGAAAAAATGACTTTCAGCAAAAGTAGAAGCTTAGTCTTGGTGAAGTCAGAAACTTTCTAGTGAATGTTATGAAAAAGTTAGGGCTGTGGCTCCCTCTACTGGTAGGTCGTGTGCAACGCATAGATCAAATAGCCCATTATTTGAGTCTTGGAAAGCAGTGAGCACCCAGGCGAAGAAAGGTTTGTGCACACATTACCACACTGACCACAAGAAATGTGCTCTGCAATTTTTTAAGGATGGATATGTGAAGGTCATCATTGAAAAAATGTTTGAAAAAAAGAAAAAACCTAAACAGAACACTAACCAATCAAAAGTGTCGATTACAAGCAGGAAGCTGAAGAAAAGATTTTCATGAGAAGTGTGTGTGTCCCCAGTTGACTGAGGCTCAGTGAGTCTCTTCACGTTGATGTAGTGATAATGTCATGTGATTGCAAATGGATCGATGCAATCAGCTTCTCAGTTGCTTGGAGAAGAGAGCACGAGGGATTAAAAGAATTCAAGTGCAGAACGGCTGAAGATGTTACAAAGCTGAGGCCAGATTTCAAGTAATAAAAATCAGGTGACTGAACACAACAGCCAGCAGATGGGATGAGAGCCACATGCAGAAAGAGGCAGGTCGGGAAATGGTCAGGAGGAACACCAAAGCACTGTGGGAGCTGGGAAGGAGGGGATTGGTGGAAGACACAAGTCTGTGTGATGTTAGGAGGCATGAGATTCATCACACAATCTCATAAAGTTGCTGATTGTGTCAATAAGCACATCCCCTCATTAAAGGGCAACTTAGCCCTGAAATGTCCATGTATACCTTCAGTGGTGTTAGAGACCTCCTTATGGGAACAGTCCTCTAGACGAGCCTCTACGCTGGAGGCCAGGGGCATTGGAGCCTCAGCAGCCAGGCTTGAGGTCACTATGGTGGTTTGTGTTGGAGCAGAGGTTACAGGAAGTATAGGTCCACCTGGGAAGTTACTGGGTGGAGCTTCAGCAACTACAGATAACCAGTAGCAACGTTGTTAATGAAAAAGGTAACTTGGAGATAATATGGAGGAGCAGTGATGGCTGAGATTGACAGATATTGTCAAATCATAATATCCATCACTTATATGGAAAAGTTAGCATTTCATTCACTCCCAGACATTATTGCCAAAATGCATATGTACAAAAAACGTTTCAGGCTATTTAATTTATCCATGATGCTTTCAAGGTGAACTACACGCCCCGTTTGCCAAAACTGTAAAATTTACTTGCAAATCTCTTCGCAATTCTGATGTGTTTTGTTCTCCTGACAATGTAACACATGTCTAGTTACTCTAGTATCAGAGCCTCTTTATTGCACTGGATAATACATACTCAGCACAACACTGATAAATTAACACGTTTTATGATGCCAAATTTGTTGCTTGCGTCTTTGAAAAAAGAGCCCAGTTGTTAGCTGATCCGACAGCCGATGGCTGCAGAATTGATTATTAAATCAATAACTAATTAAACTGTTGTGATGAAATGGAATGAACATACTGTAAATGAGTAAAAAAGCTTTTTTCAGGTTGGATGTTTTGTTTTTAAAGCTACTTTGATCATTTATTTGGGTTAAATATTTTGTCAGATTCTTATTAACCATAATTACCTCCAGATTTGACACCATCCATTTTCTCCTCTGTGGCCGCTTCGTTTGTCTCCTCCTCCTCCTTTATCGAATCTTTGACCTTGGAATCCGGTTGTCCCTCGTCTTTCAGCCCGACCTCTCCGTCTTCCTTCTCCAAATCAAACTCCTCCCTCACCTTCTCCATTCGCGCTTTAAGGGCTTCCTCGGCAGCTCTTCTTTTTACCTCCTCCAGCTCCTCCTCCTGCTTACTCCGCAGCCGCTCCAGGATCTCCTCTGGATAAAAGAGTTAAATACAGGTTAAATACATACGATCGTTATGGGAAATTCCAGACCTAAGCTAACCCTAACCCTCTAATAAAACGGACAACAATGCTGTGTTTCTGGGGCCAGATTGAGAAAGGTTTGAATTTTACTATCCAACTGAACGCCTTGTTTCAACTTCACAAATGGCATCAGCAGCAGATTGTTCATAAACAATGATTTACATATTATGATTTTCATCTAAAATGTTACAAATGATGAATTCTCGTTCTCATTCTTACGTGATACCAAACTAGACAATAAAGTTCCTTTCATGTGTATAGTCAGAAAACTCAGACCTAGAGGGATGACGCTTCTAACGTGACAGAGATGAAAAAGTGATGTCACAAACGTAGAAGACACCAACGAAGATGTCAAGATAGTTTGTGGTGATAAGAACCAATGCCTGTATTAAAAACAAAAGATCTATGCAGCAGAATTTCTATGTGACATCCTGCCTCTGTCTGCTGCACCACCCCTCATGCAGATCTTGCAGAGATGCATTGTGCATGTGTGAAAAGGAAACTCCAGAGAAAGTCCAGACCAAATTGGTCCTCCATAGGAGATGTCTGAAAAAGTCTATATTGTACAAGTGCGCTATAGTGCATAGTCTGATACTTTTTGGGAGTTAGGGGTAGCTCACAATCTATAATAAAAAGACTACAGAGGTTAAGTTGCAGTTTCCTGTTTGTCTGACTGTACTTTATAAAGTGACATATTATTTTCTATTATCAAATTCTTCGGAGCAAAGAATGGTTAAAGACAGTTGTCAGTGAGAACATTTAGCTTTTTACTATCAAGCTGTTGAGTCAAAAGTTAACACAACATTCCACAGCACTGTTTGAAGTGTCGCACCAATTCGTAACCCCTAATTGTTTTGAACTTGAACTGCACAGCATTTTATAAACGTGATTTGCTGACAATGTGCTCACAAGTTGATCATTTTTACCCACTAAGCAGGCCAAAAAGTACATGTGGATTTGGTGGATACCCTGCAGAGAGAGAGGAAGGGATGAGGGCTTGAAGAGAAGCTCAAAAGTTGGATACCAGCCAGACTGTGACCAGAGTATCGTTACATAATAGCTGGGTTGATTCCTATAGCCCAGCCATCTATGACTGGGTGGCATTCATGAGCAGTCGGGAGGAGGAAGCAGGGAGAGGAGTAGGGGGGAACAGACACAGTAAGAGAAAGAGAGGAAAAAATATTTTGGGCTAAAAGAGATCCTACCACCACTCAGATCCATAATCAAACTCGGTGAGATAGTGCATCTCAGATTCACCGGAAATTATTTCATATTTCTTAGAGGAAGAACTAAGAGCTCTTTACCGTTGGCGGCAGTGAGGAAACACTTGTTGCTGCCACGGGCCTTGTTGGTTAGGTCTTCAGTGATGTCCATATGTGTATGCACCTCGTCCCTTATCTCCTCAAGGGCTGCGTACAAGTCGGCCTCCCAGAAGTCCTTATCCAAGCAATCTATCAGATCAGCCAGCTGGACCTGGACAGAGTTTAGGGAGGGTTCCATAAGTGTAACAAAAAAACTTAGCTCAATGTTATGACAGAGGCGTTTCCACAAAACAGATAATGTTGTAAATTAAGAAGAAAGAAATAATGAAGTAGGGACACATAAAGCTATGAAAAACAGAATAACAATGAAGGAAAAACAAAGTAATTAGATGTAAAGAGCACACAACCTTTGCTGAAGAAAAAGTAATTTACCTTGGTGCTGTAGTACCAGATGGCTTTGTCTTCCTGCTCACCATCCTCTTCACTGTAGGAGAGAAATGAGATAGGAGACAAAGGAGGAGAAAACAGGTGAAAATAAGGAGACACAAGAGGGAGGAGTAGGGCATATGCTTGTTTTCTGTACACTGTTGTTTATCTGTATGTTTTAATAACACAGTAATGAATTGTTCTTGTCTCAGTAGATACATTTTATTTATTTGTCATGAGACAGCAGATGAATTTGAGCAATTCTTCTAAATCTCAGTCGATTTAGTTTTATTATCGCCGATAAATAAACAAATAATATAATTATGTAACAAATATGTAAATAGAGGCAAAAGTGAATCTATCATTCAAGCTAGTATTTACAAAAAACATCTGAGATAATGGAACCTGACCTTTTTGTCTGGTAGATTCCTCCATTATAAATGTTTGTTTATAAAAGTTAGCCTGCTTGATTGACCATCATCCACAAAGTGGACCAAATGTCTATTGTCTCTCTGTGGTAATACAATGTTCTCGTCACATCACAGAAAATATAAATAAGATCAACAAAACTAAACTCAAACATGCAAGATGCTGGTGGAAAACATATGACAATAATGATGCATGTAATAGATGTATAGTGTATATATGCATGTTGCAAATGTAAAATATGATGGTAATACAGCAGCAGGGCTTACGCTGCACAGGAGTCGAGGCAACAATTCACATCAAATATTGATCTTAAAGGTAAAGAGAGTTTTCTAGGAGCAATTAGACACTTTTTTCCGAACCAGAGCACACACTTGGCTGTTTGAATCTTCTTGACTGTTCATGGTGTTGAAGCCAATAATCCATTGATTTAAAGCTATGTCTTGTATTAAACAAAGGAAACAATCAAAGCATTTAATACACGTTTTAAATATAACGCTGAGTGGGGCTGTGTGATTGGACTAAAATCCAATTCAACAACATTAACCAGATTGATACTAGTAGAAATTTATAACATATCTTTTATTGTCTTAATGTGCTGTTGTTTATATCTAATTACTTCCTCTTGAAAAGATGCATTTTATTAGTGTATATATAATGTTATTTTTCCTGATTTGCATGAAACCATTAATTAGCACTCTGACACTTGACTCTATGTGGCAGCGTATTTGACAGCTTTTTGCTCAGCATGTTCCACGTCCAGTGACTGTGAAGCCCGAGGCCATGTAACACTAGTGTCGATTCAGCATCCTTCCAGGACGTCACTACAGGAACGTTTATGTGTACAAAGATGTGTGCACATCCATAGACACCATCGAGTCCCACTATTTCCTGTGCACATTAAATTACTTCTGTGCACAAACCCACACAAGCCTCTGAAGAGAGATTGAAGATCAGCACCTGCTGGGGCCAATTTTGTGAGCAGTGCGAAGCAGAAATACACGAGAGAGAGTGAAACGCAGCGATGACGAGCCTCTGGCCACTGAACCTTTAGTGTTCAGGTGATCCATACTCCTTTATGGTTTATGTAGCAGGCCCTCTGCTGCTGACCCAGCACATACACCATCTGTGACCACTACTGCTGATGGTCAGGTTATGATAAATCCTATTGGGGGGGGGGGTGCAGTTATTTTCGCTTTATTAAATAGCAGCTCTTACCTAGATGCAGGTCTGTACTCATGTGCAAAAAAGGTAAACTTTTAATTTTAAGCATTAACGAAATATACACAGCCCTTTATCTGATTTTCAGCACGTCGTTAAATGGCAACACACATATTTTTTTTTGCTTTAGCTTAAATTGATAGTATAGTAATGGCTACAGAAGATGATATCACCACGTTTAGATTAGTTTCCTATAAGCCTCACGTCCACCATGCAATGCTGTGACAACTGGGTACAAAATCTCGGGGGGAAACTAAAGCTCGATTTACGGCACAAATGGCCATTGTGAAAATGTAACAAGAGGATAGCACTTTTGTTTTCTCGTGGTAGCTATCAGAAGCTTTCCCTAGATAGCAGAACTGGCGGACGGTGAAACAATCGGAGTAACCGTGGAAACTACCCAGAAAAAGAAAACCAGTCCCGAAGGAGGGTGGTAGAATCAGAGGAATAGAGAAGGTGAACCTCGGACGGGCATTTTCTCAGTGGAAAGAGCACAAAACCACTGGACCAGTGAGAACATGCCTACTTATGAATATAACTGCAGTATTTCTGAATGGGTCACTACAGGACATTCAAACTTTTTTCAAAAGTGACCTCTTGATTATGAACCAACACTGAACAGAGCCTGGCTTTGGACTCCAGACAAGTCTTCAGGGATAAGATTTTTTTTGTGAGTGTAGATTTATGGTTAATAAACAATTCTTTGTTAGGCAAATACTTTGTATATTCTCTATATCAGAGAATCATACTCTCCCATGGTAACCATAACCCCTAACCCTAAAGCAAAGGGAACTCAGAGGGATATGTGCCTTGTCCTTTTCTCTTCACTCCAAACCATGAGAGTCATCACAATAGATTCATTACCCTAACAAGTAGATTTAAACAATGAACAACACTCTCATATGAATGGTGGAGAGTCCGATGCAGGTTGAACATGTTCTGTGATGAACATGCCCCTCATATCAAATTATTGTTATTAATGGCTTTGATTAACAAGGAGGCTATATCAAATAAATATCAGAGATAGACAGGTCGGGTTTATTGATGACTCTTATCAGCGCTTAAGTATGAATGTTTGTGATTGTGTGTTTGTCTCTACAGCTGCTTTCTGACCTACACTTGACTCTGGATAATCTACATTTTAAGGAGGGGCTGTATGTGAGAACGCAAATGTCTGAGTCCGAGTTTCTCCTGCCAGAGTCCAAGAAAAAACTCAAGATAATGCTGATGAGCCCATGTGAGAACCCAGCAGGAGAATAACTGGAGGCTGCATTATGAATGAGTGGATATGTTGACGTTGCGAACACGTGACAGACTTAACACTGAGAGAGAAAAAAAGGAATACAAACATCTCAGGATGAAAAAGAGAAGTTGTACATGTAGAAAACACAGATGTCAAATTGGAAAGAAACCAACACTTGAGAGCTTTTGCCTATATGGGCGGACACCAGTGTCGATGTACTGTAAATAAAAACCTACGTTACGCACCGCCTCCTGCGTCAGCCTTCACCTGAACACTTAGGAGATTTCTGTGTTGATGTGAGCGCATCTGATCAGAGAATCTGCTGCTGGGTTCTTAATATGGGACAGGAAAGCTCCGGACCAAGTGTGGGCCGAAATGAAAACAGCTTATGTCCTATCATTGACTGATGTTCTGTCCTGGCTGAACCTTTGCCTCTTGCAAAATTTAAACTGGGATTGGCTTCAGCCCCCCTGTGACCCTAACAGTGTAAGCAGTATAGCTCATGAATGAATGAACAATGTAAACTGACCCGGTGCTACATCAGCTGCACAGAGGGCAGCCACAATGTGTATTGTATCATATCAAATCAGTTTAGAAATGAGCAGAATGAAAATTACAGGATTAGTGGCCACATCTCTCCCCCGTGTGGTGGTTTATAATTTTATACGCGGATGGTTCGTACTTTTAGTGTTTGACAACATAAAATTATGGAAATTTGGATCACCTTGTGAGGCGGTTGTATGTATGTATTTTATCTAAGGTAAATTTTTGCCAAGGTCCCTCTGCAACAAAACAATGTTAATGAGAGTTGAATAAACGTTTTGAATGTCTGTGTTATATTTGGATATTTTAGTCAGTTAACCTTTTTAATATTTTTCTAAATCAAATACTGTCACTGAGCATGACTGTAATATTAAGCTACACAATAAAGTTGAATTCTATCTTGAAACTTAAATGTAAACTTACACAACAATGCGTCGATTCAGGAACCAGTATTTGCGGTGGTGTCGGTCATAGCCGACTGGCAGTTGACGAATAAATGGCCTGCTCTTCTGAACCTCCGGGATGCAGTCTGCAACACCAGGTACCTTGTGTGCTACACACACTTCACACTGCCACTCGTCCTCTGGTACTTCCTGCAGTGGTGGTTTCACACACTCCAGATGGTAAACGGCCGAACATGTCTCACAGCACAGCAGGTCACCGAGACGATGGCACACTCTGCAGTGGTCATCATAGGCAACCACTCCTTCTGACATGAGTTCCTCCCGGGCAATATTGGTTGCCAGGAACTGGTCCACCAAAAACTGTAGAACTTTAATTTTGCTGTCCAATGGTTCATATGGGTAATCCTCGCTCTCTTGGGGAGGCAGAATATGCCGGTACTCTGGGTCACTCTCACAGTACGCCCGCACCACCTCTGGCCAGGTCATACCATCCACAAAATACAAAGTAGAGTTAACAGAGTCCTTCACGTCAGCAGGACCAAATGTGGTGTTGGAAGTGTCCTCTTCTCTGAGAATAGCCTTGAGCAGGGAGATGTGGGTCTCTGCCAGCAGCGTGCACTGCTCCTGGCTGGCCAGTGCTGCACAGAAATCCTCAAAGCGGAACGGAGAGAGACGCAGCACTGAGCCAAAGTTGCGGAGGACCTCGTAGACAGCAGATACATTGAGGAGCTGCGATGCAAGGACCAGGAGGTCCTCAGATGATTTGGGAAGTTCCAAGGGAGGAATGTCCTTTGCCTCAAGGATGGGAGAGCGCGGTGGCATTGCCCGACTCCTTTTCGGGCCTGTAAACAATAGACAGGAAAAGAGTCAGAGGAGAGGATTTAAAGATGGGAAGCACATAAATAAAGGAAAACAATGAAAAGGACATGTGTCTATAAACCACTTCAAGCAGTGTGCTGCCTGTCTACACACAACTAACAATAAATGTAAAGTTTATGAGCAGTAAATGTAAGCAATTGAAATACAGATATTTTAAGAGAAAACAAATGTATCTGGAGAATAAAATGAGCACTGCTGCTTTAGGTCTCCACAAAACAGCAACTATGAGTGCTATATGAGAATGTGCTATACTTAATGTTTACCATAAACCAATGCAATCCAGTGCCTGAATGTATTACAATCCCTGATGTCACACTAAACTGTTCCCTCTGATGTTGCAGTACAGTGCCTACAGAAATGCAGGCACTGTGAGGTTAGACCTGGGGACAATCAGAACAATCTGGGAACAATCTTTCAGCTTACCTTGTGGGACCTGGGGCCAAGCACCCCAAACGGTACCACAAAGAATGTGATAAGCTAAAAGTTCAAAATCCTGGTTTTATAAAATAAAGGATACAAAAACAATATACAAACTAAATTGAGTGCCGCTCTTTCCAAATACTACATGAGTCTGGTGGAACTGCTAATTTGGGGGCATCACACACCGGTGCTGATGTGAATGAGGTTATACAGTGTAACACTGTGGACATGACTTAATGAAAGATGGATGAGAACATTCTTGTCCCAAGACAATAACTCATTTAAAAACTAGCCTCTGTCTCTGCAGGACAAATGTGGATGTTGCAGCATTGGTGCTGTGCTAGTGTATTCCCTCTGGACTGTGTGTTTGTATACTGTATCCCACCTATGAGCACAGTAATGTTGAACAAGCCTGAATTTGTAGTTGATCTGACTGGTTCAGTGCAGGTCATCTGACCGGAACTCACAACCGTGCTCCTGCACCCGGGTAACTTGACCAAACTCGGCTAAAGAGTAAAGAAATATTTCTATAATAATCATGGTATTGACTCATTGATACCATTCACTCTTAAAACTAACCTCATATAGTAGATACTGTTGTGTGTTTCTAACTTTCTCATGAGCTCCCCTCAATCTCACTGATTCTGTAAACTCACTGTAGACTTTAGGAGGCTGCATTAACTTTTCATGAGGAGACCAAATAAACTAATCCTATAAAATTACAGCCCCACATCCATACAGGTAAATAAGATTTTTTTTTTTACGAATTGGCAAATTTATTTGCATTAGGGCAAATTTGATTCTGTGGTTTAGTGATGATGCATGAGTCCAGTGATACTACTACAACAGCATACTGGGGATTAACCTGCGGCAGTGTGGTATGAATGGGTCAAACAGGGGTAAGAATGGGTCCATTATTTGGCATCAAAGACAGGGGCTTTTATGTGAAAGTGTTGTGTATATGTGCCCATGACAGTGAGAGGACCATAATGTCAGCCTGTCAGCATTGATTTTATGAGACCGCACACACAATACTGCCAGGTTCACATGTCTGTAGAAAAACATGTGTGTGTAATCCCAGATCAACTTCCACCACCAAACCAGGGAGTTATTCAAGGAATACAATCTGCACTTACGTTTTTTCATTTGAACTATTTGTTTCAAAGTAAAAATACTAAAGCCTGGGTCCCAACTATTTTTCTAATCCTGTTTAGAATGGCTTCCAGTTGATCGTCCCATCACTCAGAGCGTTACTTCACACCGGACACTGATTTTCATTGCAGACACAGCTTCATTAACAGGACTGGTCATAACTGGGAACGTGATGGATCTAACTTTGCCATCTGATAAACCTAAGAGTGGTTACTATGGCAACAGTGCACCACGTAATGCTGTAATGAGAAGCTTACAACAAGCGGAAAAAAAAGAGCAAAACAAAGGCCTGTCACACTCATGTAGCAGCGTTATGTAGCTGGAGTCACTTCTGGAATCAAACTGGGATAAGCCTCATTCTATAGATCTTGACTGAATTGGTGACTCTGTGATTAAGTGCTGCAGTTTAGAGAAGATCCCTAAGAGCTGTCAAAGTGACACCAGCTAGAGACAATGTTTACTCCGTGTGTTGTGATGGGGCGACGTTTACAGAGTAAACAACACACTCCTTTGCTTTAGCACAAGTAGAAACACTGAATGAATGGAATGAATGAAAAGTAGTAAACGCAGTCTGCACGTCTTCCTCAAAAAAAAAACGTCAAATGCAAAGTGCGTGAAAAAAGAAAAAAAATGGAGTCCGGTTAAAAAAAGGCGATAATTCCTCTTAATAAACTGACATCGAAATGTGCTGATCGGACAAAAAGGAGAGAGATGAGCGCTGGTTGGAGCGTGGATCTGCACGGCGGCGGCCAGCAGAGCACACGGTAAACAAAGGCCTGTTTCTGAGTGCAAGCTCCATTTTGAACAATGCGGCTGGGTTTCTGTACTGAGCTAAAAATAAAATGCACACTGTGAGTGTTGCAAACGTGCATTGGTGAAGTGCGTGCACTTGCACACGGACGTACCTGGGGTGCTACCGAGCGTGCTGTGGCTCCGAAAGCTGCTCTCGGTGCAGTAGCTGGCATCATCATCATCATACGGTAGTTCCTCCAGATAGTCCGACTCGTTTCCCAAGGCCTCCTCTTCTTCGAGATCCGAAGGGTTGTCGTTCAGGAGTTCGTCTTCCTCCGACCTGTAGCTTATGTTATCGTCCTCCTCGTCGCTGTTGTCGTCGTAGACCACCTTGTTTTGAGGCCGCCGCACTCCGCCTCTGTAGCCGCGGCCGCCTCTGGACCCCCTGCCTCTCCCTCTGCCGCCTCTGCTCCGCGATGCCGCGGCCGCCGCCGTGATGGAGGCTCCAACTTTCCTGCGGCCCCGGGACGAATGAAAGTTCTCTCGGCCGGAGATTTCTGTGTCCACTTCCGCGGAGCCGGTGCCGCAGACGCTGCCGCCTGCCACCCGGCCCCGACCTCTGCCTCTCCCCCGCCCGCGCATCCCTCTGTTCCTGCCGCCCCGAGAGCCGCGGACTGGCCCGGGTGAACCCTCCCGCATCACGGCTGCTTGTTTGGGCGGCCTTCCTCTTCTCCCCCTCATTGTGGGAGAGAGTCGCTCCTGTTCCGCTTCAATCTCGGTGCTCGAACGAGACACGCACACCGGAAAAAATCGGGATAGCAACGAGCCAGTGGGTCCGGCGACGGTTCCCGCTGCGTGCCCACCAAGTCCTGGTCTCACTTCCAGGGTGGAAAGCTCAAAGTGAACGGCCGGTGTCCCGCTCTGGGTCGCCTGCAGACGCCATTTTTCTTCTTGGCTCTCCCTCCGTTGAAAACACAGCAGGCCTCAGTCAAGCTACACACGAGTACAGCGCTTGTACCGGAAGTTTAGCGTCTTTTATTCAAAGTAAAAGCAAAAAAACCTATTAAACAAAATGTAAAAACAATAAAAAAACACCGTGTTAAACAGAAAACAAAACAAGTACAACATCAAATTTAATCCATATCATGTCTCTTCACATGGTGAGTTTAATAATTCCAAAACCACGTTTGCATTGTAACCAGTTCAACGTAGGAATGCGCGGCTGCTGTAATTTTCTCTAACTTCACACTTAAATGACAGCGTTGGTGCGCGTTCACGTGACTCGCCATTCTACAACCAGCCGTGCCGTGCTAGTTCATAATATTAGTTATCCGTGCTAACGCGGCGGTGTGATCCGTGCTAACCGGTCACAGGCGGGTCAAGTGCACTGCACCGGAACATCGGTCACTTCAGCCCCGTCGCTCCCGTCGTCACAATAAAGCGAGAAGACAACGATCAGCGTACACGTGCATTATTAGAGGTTATAAACTGACGAGCAGCTGAAGCAGGAGCAAAAGTTAACGCTACATGTTTGATCTGGTTTTAAATGGAGTGAATAAACTGAAAACTGCCGCGTGTTACTTCTTAATCAAATTCTTTTTACGTAGCTTTGAATTTACTCCCTGTAAATGATAGTAATAATATGATAACATCTTTATTTATGTGGTACTTCTCAAATCAAAGTCACAAAGTGCCTCACAAATAGGACACACAAGTAGAAATGCATAAACATATCATAAAAACAAGTAAGAAGCAGTCATGAATGAATAAATACGCAAACATTTAAGCAAGATCCTCCATTTCTGTATACAAAGTAGAATTGGTTAAAATCATGGAATGCAGTACAATAATTAATTAAAGTTCATGTCATTGTTCAGTTTTTTATTACATTGATGAGTGGTCTGTGAAGCACCATCTAACCTCGGTTTTGTTGCTCTAGAAATTAAATACAAATTACAATATTATTAATGTTATGTGTTGAGATAAATTCAAATAGCTAATCATTCATTTTCTTTTGTTAATCTGGTTAATCTGCTATGGCTACAGACAATTCACAAATAGACAATCAGTCTCTCTCTACCAGTCCTGGATCAATAATTTGATTAATTTTGTATTTTCTTGTGGCCGAGTGGTTACGATGATTACTTGAAAATCTGTTGGGTTTCACTGCACGGGATCAAATCCTACAATATTTTTTGTTGGTGATAAAGTAATTGCGTTTCAACATTAATCAGCTATTAAAATAATTGACATAAGCAAATGTTTTTTGCATGTCTAAATTGTACAACAAATTGTTCAAGGAGTTGAAGATGTTGTTTCAAGTGTTCAGTACATGATGAAACCGACTCATTGTGTTTTTCACAACCTAATACAGATCATTTACAAAATTATTTGTTTTATTCACACGTTGTCCGACTATGAGCTTACAGAAATCACAACAGGAACTTCAGCAATTCCAACACTGATCGTTTAATAAAAATAAAGTCTCACATGGATTGACTGTTTTTTCTTTGTTATACAATTGTATTCAACATATAAGGTTTTCCTGTGGAAACCCAGTAGAGTCCCAGCTGACACACATATCCAGCTGTGTTAGGAGATACAAAATACAACCATTCAAGTCCTTAAAACCGTAACCATACTGCTGTATGAAGTTGCTTTTGCGTGTATTATAACAAACTGACTGTAAAGAAATCATGCAAATGAAGTCATCCAAATGGACACATTCACATTGGCTTACACAAATTTAAAACAGTTCAAATGGAACTGTAAGTTACTTCAACGTCTTCAGTGGAATTCATGTAACTTGAGTTGTGATGGTGAGCATCTGTGCCAAAAAGCACTTTCTAAAACCAGTCGAGTAATTCAAACAACCCTGAAACCCCTTCAAGTGAACAGTCGGAAGGAGACGCTCTGCTCGAAGGTTTATTAAAAGTATTCTGTACACATTCTAAAACAGCTCAATGACTTCAATGGAGTATTGTCCAATGTCCCTCTTTTCTTTCATCTTGTTGAGCTCCTGGAGGCTGCTCTCGATCTTTCCAAGCTCAGAAACCAGTCTCACCTGAGGACACAAAAAAGAAAAAATGTTTTAGTTTCTTTCCGACATAACTTTTAAGACATCTACAGAACAGTCAGACAGAACAAATGTAATCAAACCAACATGCCGTCAGTTACCTGTGACTTCACAAAGCTGTGGAGGTTCAGCAGTAAGCCTTTGGCCTCTGGAGTCATCACCAGCACAGTGAAATGAGCATCCAACACCAAGCAAACCCAATCCATGATCTATAATCAAATGCAAAGAAAAACACAACTGTCATTTTGTTTTTTAACACTGGAAAGTCAGATTGGTCACATAACACAATTAATTTAGGGCTAATATGTGATCAACAATTTTGTCAAACTGGGAATTTCGCTTTGCTTGTAATTCAGCATGATTCTGTAGATGAATGTCACTTTATCTTATTTACTTTTATTTTATCTTCTTTCATTTACTGTATTTTCCTCTTGTATCTTTTTGTATTCTGTTATAACACTGTTTTCTTTATGTCCACACTTGTATTGTTTTTGCTTTGGCATGATTGTAAAGCACTTTGGCTCAAATCCTGTTTTTCAATATGATATTTAAATAAACCTGACTTGATCTGAATATCATGATAGCAGTGTTTTCACATGTTTGTTCCATACTAAAAGTTTACAAAAAGTGTTGGGGTCAATAACATGTGATGGAATTTGGCTAATATGATGATACTAGGCACTCAAATGTCTCATGTCTCCAGTGGCTTGGTTTCTTATAATTTATCTCAGTACAACTCTCCATCTCTTGACATTGGTGTTTGTTCTGTGGCTGAGCTGAATTCAGAAAGTTCAGGTTAAAAATAACAATTTTTCCTCCACCATATCTGGATTTGCAAATGTGTCAGCTAAATGAGCAAATATACACTTTTCTGCCTCCAGGTAAGTCAGGTAATGTGTCCTCCTGTGACCGACACTACCTACATCGATGTGTCAAATATGAACATCCTTATAATATAGGCAGACATTGATACAGACCTGAGGCAGACTTGGTGATCTCAATCCAGGCATCATTGGCAAAGCATCCTGGGAATATTTTAGGTAGAGGAACTGCAGATACTGGAGGAAAAGCTGTTTGGATGAGACAGAAAATAAACGGTAAACAAATGTTTTTTTTTATTAACTATAGTTGGATTGACCAAAAACACTAGAATGGCCTATTAATTGTAATGACCTACATGTATTGTTAGTATCAGTAGTTTAATTTGAATAAAAATAGCGGAACAATCCACAATCAGACTCCATGGATAAAGACTGAGGTCTAAAGAGTTTTAAATTGTACATACATTTCATGCCTGAACAACCAAATAGCATAAACCAATCTGTTACTTACAACAACATGCTGGGAGGAGAGATCTTTTAGGTGTGGGAGAAGGAAAGTGTCGCTGTACGCCGTCTGCAACACCTCATTTCTTTGCAGCCTGAGTTAAAGAGTATACTTAAACATTTCTCAGTAATTTTAAATTGACTACTGCAACATTTTGGTTTCTAAGTTTATTTACTACCACAGTAAATGTGCAGCAACAGAGACAATCTTTAAGGCTACAGCCATAATACTACATTTTCATTTACAAACAGCGTTTTCAAATTAAAATGTCTGGTTGTTTTGTCTTCGTATCAGTTCTAATTCTCCGTCCATACCAACATGGCATATCATGTGACCACTGGCGTACAGTGGGCGAGTGCATGCCAGAGTAAACTCGAAAGCATGCAGTGTACAAACGAATTGCTTGAATATTAGTTTGTTTCCTACTCATCTAAGCAGTTGTATCATTGTTAAATATAGAACTTAACTGTGCAACAGCTGCCAGCAACACTTGTAATTAGTTCTGGTATCTCAGGCTAATGCTGGTTGTTTTCTTCCAGAAGGGAGTCATGTTAAACGAAAAGACCCAATCAGCAAGCCATGGTGAGTGTTTACTTTATTATTACTAAAAATCTGTTTCTGCCCGTCCAGACTAAAACGCAGGACCAGCAGTGTTTAAGAACTCATTTTTAACATCTCTAAAACTGCGGAGTAGTGTGTATGAAAGGTGTATCTGTGGTGGGAGTTGATGAGTTTTGAAACTAAATCTCAGTAGAATGGACGTAACTTAAGTTGATTGTGAATAGTTGACTCATTGGTCAATTGTGATGAGTGCATTGGAAGGATACAGTAGAACAGCCTTGTGTAATCCCACTGGACACATCTGTTCTGTCGGAGTTGAAGTCTTCTCCTTTTCTTCTGCATTGGTGATGATGGCATCACCTCCTCTGTGGGCATCTGAGTGCTCCACGTCCAAAGAGGTGGGGCGGAAACCGTTCTGCAAGCCGACCTGGCCACGCTCCCGAGTTATGAGGGTTTCCATGAAGGAGACACTGTCGGGCTCCAGGCTCCCTTTCTCTGCATCAACGTCTGGCATACTGTTAGACCAAGGTGGGAGGCATATTGTTCATTTTATATTAAAGAATATTACAACAGCTACACCACTTCGGTTTCACTGTGTGCAGCATATTTCAGCAAAATAAAAATAAAGTAACATTTGAAGAATTTAAAAAATGTATTACTTTGGTGCCCCCTGTGGTCATATCAAAAGAACACAGGCATAGACAGGATCTCTTGTTTATATCTGAGGCCTTGTATTAAAAACTATCCCAGATGATGTAATGTAATGTATGTAACCACATATGTATGTTCAACATATTTATAAGAAATTAGGTTTGACCTGATAAAGGCCTTGAGACAGGCACAGGTGACAGCTTCAGGGATGTCAGGGAAGAACTGCAAGCAGAGTTGACACAGAAAGTAGTCCTTCCTCTCCAGGGCCAACAGCACAAGGTCAGGACACACACTGCAGGAGGTCATAAAGGTAAATGGTCCCATTATTGTACTACAGTAGAGAAATACATTCTGTAAAATAGAGACTGATGTA